TAGACGTGAAATGTCGTGCAGTATTCCACAGGGATCGGTGTTAGGGCCACTCTTGTGGAACATCGGCTACGACTGGGTGCCTCGTGGTGCCGTCTTGGACGGTGTCGCCGTCATGTGCTACGCAGACGCCACACTCGTGACGGCGTGCGGCAAAACGCACCGTGAGGCAACCATAAGGGCCACGGCCGGGGTTGCCCAAGTCGTTGAGCTGGATCTCGAGGTGGCTCTGCACAAATTCGAGGCCTGGTCCTTTCATGGGCATCGGAGGAAGCCACCTGAGGGATCCAGCCTCATAGTAGGAGGCACTCGCACAGCAAGTTATGCTTGCGAAGGAGATGGCGGAGCGGGCCAAGTACCGCAGACGACTCAGGCGCCGGATGTCGCAAAACGACCTCCGTCCTTCACAAGCGTAGGCCTGGGGGTAAAAAAAATAAGGGTGGATAGCAGACCACCTTGAAGACCACTCAGCTGTTAATTATTGCTAACGATTACATGCGCTGCTACAAATGTCTCAAATCAATGATATTAACCTTTCATCGAAAAGTAAATTATATTCTAATCACGTTAACCCGTTTCAAATGCACCAGAGTTCAACGTATGAGGGTGCTTAGTAATAACAATTAAGCACCCGTTGATGTCTTTTTGAAATGTCCCTTTCACTCATTACGTAAATTACAATAGTTGTCTTTGTCCAAATGACAGCTGGTGTATCGATAGCGTTGTGATTTATTGGTCGACATTTGTTTGGTCATCCTTTGAATTTCTTATATTAAAATTTGTAAAAATTGTGGCGTATCGTTGTGGTATATGTGATTGGTTTGCCCCAAAAGGAACACATGTAGATGACGCAACTTGTCGAGGGGACGATTGGTTTTCTACCAAATTGGTGTGATATGTTCAAGACACTTCACAGAAGAAAATCTTTATATTATGACAAACCGTAGAAGGCTGTTGGAAGACAAGAAAGACAGATCCTAAGGATTCTATGAGACGTATTTATACTAAGCTAATCCATTTTAAAGATCAGTGATATATATGTTTAAAAATCAAATATACAAATCTGTGCCACCTGTGATGAGTGATTTAAGTCGAGTTAAATTACCTTTCTAAGGAGAGGCCTATGTCCAGCAGTGGACTATTACAGGCTGTTGATGTGATACCCATACGATACGATATCAAAAAACAATGATCAATGTAATTAATTATCGATAATCAATAAATCAAGAAATAAATTTCAATAATTCAGAACATCAAAGCATTCTATCGATTAATGTCTGTCCCATCACTATGGTTTGGTTCATTTAATGTTTGACTCTGAAATATTCAATCACAGCGCATTGACACGTCCCCCCCAAAACCTTGCATACCGCCTATTTCGGTGAACTCGAATCGGAACAAACATTCAATAATGCGGAATCTACGAATGGGTAATCTGTGCATACATACAAATAAAATATGTATTTGCTGAGTTAAGTAAATACATATAATATACACAAATAATATAATAATACGCGTTTTTACGATAAAATGTTTTTTTCCTTTTGAACTTATTGAAAATGATTGCCTGCTTTTGAGATGGGCTATAGCCAAAAAAGTGTTTTTTTTAATTTTTTTACTAAACTATAATTTATTTTTCCTTTTCTTTCCGCGTATCGGACGCGAGTAGACGGCACAATGCCAGCACTGCGCAGCCGATTGGGAATCCGCCCAGCACACGCTGGAGACTGCCCCGAGTGGGCGTCTGAACGCGAAGTCCTGGTCAGCCAAATCGGACGAGACCTCTCCCCGCCAGCGATCATTGATTGCGGCAGATTGATGGCAGCTTCATTGCATTAAGACGCAATCGGGCCGCTAGGCCGTGATTGAAGGGGGCTGAAGTGTTTTCCACTGGGATATAGCCTGATTGGGCATGGTATCAATACGGGGAGGTCCTGAAATAACATGGTCCGGGTCCTCCCAGAGTAGGATACCTGAGGCCGGCCATCGGGTTGGTTTTTAGTGGAATCACCACATACTCCTGGCTCCTGAGCCCCGATGAGCAGGAGGTCCGAAGGGATTTTCCACCCCTTCAACAATAAAAAAGCCCTCTGGAGAGACCCGCTAAATTCAGTGTTTCCTACAACAAAGTTGTGTGGGGGAAAGGGATGTTGACCAGATAAATAATTATTTTAAATTTTGTAATGATAAGTTAAAACAAATAGAATCTCCATCAGAGTTTCATGAATGTGCTGTTAACATATGTCACAATACCGAACATCGTTTGTTATTAGGTAATATGTATGATAGCGTTATTTCTGTTTTAAAAGAAGTTAAAAGTCTGTGTCTGTTAAAAGGTATCATAAGGGTAAGCATGTAATAGGGTGGAACAAGCACGTTCGCAAGGCTCACCGTGACGCACGACTGTCGTATCGAATGTGGATGTTGCACAACAAACCCACTAGCGGTTATATTTATGAAAATATGTGTAGGACAAGAAACAATTTTAAATATAAGTTAAAATATTGTCAAAATAACCAAGTGCAAATTAAAATGGACATATTAGCTACATGTCATAAAAAAAAACAATTTGATAAATTTTGGAAGCTAACAAACAAATTAAAACATAAGTCGGGAGTACCGGTGAGCGTCGCGGGTGTGACGGAGCCCACAGAAATTGTGAATGCTTTCCTAGATAATTTTAAAGTAAGCTCACCTCTGTCTGACATTAATAATATAGTGTTCAGCGAGGCTGGGACGTCCGTGACTGGGACTCGAGTTGTCCAGTTCTCAGCTGAGCAAGTAGCGAAAACTATACAAAATATGGTGCGGGGCAAGTCCCCCGGTCACGACGGCCTCAGCGTCGAACATCTTAAATATTCAGGAGTACACCTACCAAGAGTACTTGCTATGTTTTTCAGCCTGTGTTTAAGTCATGGTTACCTACCTGCTGAACTTACTGAGACGATTGTTGTACCAATTTAAAAAAATAAAACTGGGGATGCCTCCGATGTTTCCAACTACAGACCCATCTCGCTGGCAACTGTGACTGCTAAGGTATTGGACAGTCTAATTGATGAAATACTAGCCAAACACATAGTTCTAGAGGATAACCAATTTGGTTTCAGGGCGAATTTATCCACTGAAAGTGCTATCCTAAGTCTCAAGCAGACTGTCCAATATTACACAGATAGAAAGACTCCAATAATTGCTTGTTTTTTGGACTTATCGAAGGAATTCGACTTAGTAAATTACGACCTGCTCTGGCATAACCTTGCCACGATACTTCTGTCCCGGGTGATGTCATATCACTGTTGAGATATTGGTATAGTAATCAAAAAAATAGAGTGAAATGGGCGGGCTCATATTCTGACTTATATGGGTTAGAATGTGGGGTAAGACAGGGTGGGTTGAGTTCCCCTCGTTTGTTTAATCTGTACATGAACAAATTGATAGAGGAGCTTAATAGCACCAGAACAGGATGTCACGTGGATGGTGTTTGTGTAAACAACATTAGCTACGCTGATGATATGGTGCTGCTGAGCCCGTCTATTAACGCGTTGAGGAAACTAATTAAAATCTGCGAAAGTTATGCGGTGGCACACGGGCTCAAGTACAATACCAATAAGAGTGAATGGCTAGTTTTCAAGACGAGTACCTTAACATACCAACAGCTTCCGGAACTCTCACTCTTTGGATCTCCTCTAGGCCGGGTTCAGAGGTTTAAATACTTGGGCCACTGGGTCACCGATGACTTAAAAGATAATGTGGATATAGATAGGGAACGCAGGTCGTTGGCTGTCCGCTGCAATATGCTGGCCCGTAGGTTTGCACGCTGTACTAGCAATGTTAAAATAATGCTGTTTAAAGCCTTCTGCCAATCTTTTTACACCTGCAGCCTGTGGACTAAGTTTACGCAGAGGGCATACAACGACCTGCGTGTCCAGTACAATAATGCATTCAGGGTGCTTTTGGGGTCGCCATGGCGATGTAGCGCGTCAGTCATGTTCGCAGAGGCACAGGTCGACGGTTTCACCGCTATAATGCGGAAATGTTGCGCCTCCATGCTGGTGCGTTTGCGCTCCTCCTCCAACCGCATCCTGAATGTTTTTTCAGATAGATGGGACTCTTCCCTTATTCAGAGGTGGATTTCCATTCACGTAAAATAAAAAAATTATAATAAACGAATAAATATAATTCAATACTAACACTAGTTTTTAAAACACATTGTTACTAACACTATATGGATGTAATAGTCCGAAATAAATAATTTGAATTTGAATTTGAATTGATATTTTCAAAGTTGCATGGCGCCCAAAATACAGAGAAGATATATCTAGTCTAATATACGTATAAGTACATACTCGTACAACAGCAGCTGTGTATTTATGTGTTGTCAGCTTACAGCATAAACCTACGCTCTAAGGTTGTTTGTTGTTAGTCACGTTACATCGTCAAGTTTCATTCTATTTTTAAACGTATTATCACTTTAAAGTTGTGTTTGTTCTTGTAATATATTTGGAAACTTTATAAATGTTACAAGCACGTAATAGAAAACGATTGTCATAGATGTTATTTGGTTGTTATATTTTCTTAGAATAACCACTACATTAACATAAAGACACACGACACTCAACTTAAATATGAAGCACAGCACAAAACGGAGCTGCCATTTGTAATTCAGTCAACGTAGCGTGAAGAGCGAATACGAATATTAGTGACCACGCGACTTATATTTAGCACTACGATACGGAGTGTGATTACACACATGAAATCAGACAGTTTTAAAAACATATTTGACAAATCGCGTTCAAATAATCAATATATAACAAAACGAATAATAGGAAGTACTTACAGTGTAAAATAATGTTTAATTAGCAAACGAAAAAGTGTAATTTTAAAAGGTTTTCTTATTGAAAGTCTGACGTTTTGACGATTCATGTGTAGCTATTGTACTCTTATAGTTTGTGATGTTGTTATAATAGTATCAATTCGTTAAACCGCTGAGTAAACTATGTGTTTACATGCAACGTTGCGAGTGGCCAATATTGTGGAGCGGCGACATCTGGTTCAGTAGCGTGGGAGTGCGCCGTGTCCGGGCCACGATGGACGAGCCGAAAACTGTGCGATGGTGGACTTCACCATTCACTAGACAGGTGAAGACAACATTTTCTTTCTTTCTGCTACTGTTCACACGTCAGTGCTCGACTCTAGAATCTGAATGCGAGTGATGTTGAAATTTACATGGTTTAAAGAAGTCTGCGTTACATTTATTGTTAAACAACGCAAACTGGTCAGACAAGCTCTCTTAGAAAAAGTGTATTGACCGAATGTTTATGTGATGGAAAGTTCAAAACGGCTCAATAACAGATCCAGCACTAGCTTGTGCTCTTGTGGAGAGAACTTTTAAAGTTTCACTTAGTTTTGCCATATTTCATAACGTTATGTTACAACACTTACAGAATGCTTTAACGTTTATCTAATTAATTATTGGTAAAAAAGATGACGCAATCACGTCGTGTGTGTGTCACGATGATAACTATGTTTATAATTATCACTGTTTACAGCATCAATTTTTATCTGCGCCTGCCACTTGTTACGCGATGACCACCGTACAAACTGTTGTTAAAAAAATAAAATAAAATAGAGAATCTTTAACATTTCAAAATCTAGTTTGAAACTAGTTTTAACAAATGTTCACTTATAATTTCATATCGTGTGCCAACTACTTCATTCGCTTACACTTCTGTTTTTGGTTTTCCTTGCCAACTCTACAACTAAAATTTTTTTTTCTATCATTTGTTCATGACAAAAGGTTATAATTTAATACATATAGTAACAGTGATGATATCCACAGGTGGTTTATGTGTCTTTATGTTGTAAGTTATAGTTCGGATGAAGGGTATTAAAAACCGTGCTGATGTTCCAACTGCTGTTGTATGTGGCAAGCTCCGGATTTGGCACTCAAGGCTTCACGTAGAGATCAATCTTAAACTATTTCTTAGGTGATGGACTCCCGGGTTTTTCACTTACATAGGTAAATAACCTAAAATCTTATGTCATATAGATTATATGATGGCTGGCTAGTAAAAAGTTGTGTGTTAGGTTAGTTCATTAGAAGCCTTTAGTAGTCCACTGCTGGACGTTGGTCTGTCCTTAGAAAGGAGGCATTGGCCTACTATACCACGCAGGCCGGATGGGTTGGTATAGAGTTGGTTTCAAAGATTTCCTTCTCTTTGCAATGCTCTTGTTAGTTTGCGCCCTTAGTCGGCTCGGCGGTAACACTAGTGAGTCGTTCCTGATCAGCTTTTAAACGAACTAAGAGTTCTAAGTTAGTTTTTAGCTCTTCCGATTGGCAAGCGCTACTCTCAATATTCTTATTTTTTTAATAAATGGACAGGAATGTCACTAGTTTTATTGTCAAGATGATAATAATATGTTCTGGAAGCTTGGAGACTAAATCTCAAATAGGAGGCCAATCTCACGTAAGGGCATGGGGTCACCAATACTGACGAAGGTGACGGGCCAGATTGATGATAAACCTAACATCGCACGGTCGCAACATTACAGTGATAATGTCTATCGAATAAAGCGAAGGTTTTTAAGAAGCCAACTGAATATAATGTTTAAAACTAGGCACAGGTTTTCTGGAACATAACTTAAAAGTCCCTGGCATTTTAAGGTCCATTCACAATCAAGGGATATTTTTATTTTAAAAGAAAAAGTCCTCCTTCCCTGTCTACAAAACTACTGAATTGAAGGATTAACAGATACAGGACATTTTTGGTATTAAAATAACATGGCAAATCTACTATTGTGTGAACAAGCAAGTTTACATTAACATTAACTATTAATGGTACGGAACCAATTGCGCGAGATCTAATTGCGCGATGAAACGTTAATAAACCCTGCGTGGTTTGGTTGTGCCTCGCTCGATAGATGACGCTGAAGTATGATTTTCTAGTGACCGCGGCTTTCAAGCTCAGTCTCTAAACGGGGAAAACGAATCATATCTGCCTAAACTCTAACGGTCTATTAATGATCATATTTATATAAAATTAAGAATATTCCAATACGAAAATTTCATTAAGAAAGTAGTACAAAATTGACTTGCAAGATTTGTTAACGATAGCAGTCTATTAAATGTTACGATAGGTACGATCACTTACGGCCCTGTAAATGGTTAGATTTTAAAATTAAAGTTATGGTTTATGGCATTTCCAGTGTTTCGTCACGGCCGGTGTGTCGCTAAACATGGCGGGCTCCGGCCTCGTGGTGGGCTTCACCACAGCGCTACTGGAACAACTCAAGAGACCAGATTCCATCATGCCCATTGACGACAGCTCAGGCTCTTGGATAGGTAAGTTACTTTACAAGTATAATCATGTTCCTGTTTTACTTTATGTACATGTTGCTTCAATGTATGTATTGTTTATTTACCCAAAACGTTTTTAGATACAAATTTACTGTGTAACTGCTCACAAAATGTGAACTTGAATATGTTTGTATTAGTAAACTATGGATTACAAAATTATAGTTTGAAAAGTGTTCAATACTAGGTAGGTATAAGTGTGCATAATTTTTTTAAACTTTGCACAAAACTGTTTGATGACGTCTCGTGACCCGATGACACATTTTACTTGATAATTAAATCTAAATCAAACAGTCGGTACAAAAGCGGCGTTATATTATCATTATAAAAATTGTTTTGTACATTTCCTCTATTATTGAACTAGAGATTTTTATTGTTAATTTAGTTAAATTGTAACACAATGTTGTTACAAAACATGTAGGCGTATATTGTATAGAACTACAAGGTATACGCTTTATATATATTCATTGTTCATTGTGGGTAGTTGAGACAGCAACAACAAAAATTTTAAGTGTCTACATTTTATTTTAATTTAAATATATAAGTAGTTGTTATTAACATTTTTAAATAACAATTTAAATGTTGATATAATACACCTACCAGTGAAGTGTTATCTCCTCTCAAATATACTTCTTATAAAATATAATCACAACAACCACCGTGCACATTGAAATGAACATGAACATGAAGGACTCTTTTGCGACAATCATGGCGGGTATTGAAGAACGCATGGCTGCCTTCGAAACAGAGCTGCAGAGGAGTGCCAAAAACCCTAGCAGCACACCAACTGTGGCATCACTGACATCTGATTTCGCAGGTTTCAAAGCCTTTGTCATGAGCACCTTTTCTGGCTTACGCAGTCAAATTGAGTTTTTGGCTCATCAGGTGGATAGCATGGAGATGCGTACTCGTCGGAAAATGTTGTTGTTGCATGGAGTTCCTGAGGATAATGATGAAGACACGGCACAATCGGTTGTGAATGTTGTGACAGGCCATCTTAACGTACAGGGTTTCTCAAAAGGTGACATAAAGCGATGCCACAGAATGGGCAGACCTACTGCTGCTAAGAAACCAAGACCTATACTAGTCAAACTCCAACTTACAACCGTTCGGGACAAATTATGGTTTGCTAAAACAAAACTCAAGGGGTCTGGTGTCACTTTGTCTGAATTCATAACCAGAACCAGACATGAGGTTTTTATGGCTGCACGTGAGCGGTTTGGTGTCTCCAAGTGCTGGACACGTGAGGGTCATATCTATGTCCTCGACCCTAAGGGAACACGGCATCGCATAGTCTCCCTCAGTGAACTTAATCGGCTTGATTGTGACACGCAGAAGGCAGTTCCAGCCGAAAAAGCTGCGGTGAAATCCAGTCGCCGAGCCGTAAACAGGAAATAGATGCCGCATGTTTGTTTCGATTATTGCATAACGTTCAGGTATTAACTTAGTTAATAGTTTTCTTGCTACCTGAATTTAAAGTTGTCTTTTGTTTTAGTGTACAAGCTGTTAAGTATAAAAACTATTATAATATTGAAATACCTCAACTTTTCTAATCTAAATTGATTCAAAATGAACAAACTCAAGGTAGATTGTTTTGATTAACTTGACAGTTTGACAGAATACGATCTGTGACACATTTATTCTAGTAGTATTTAGTAGTAGTAGTGGTAGTTATTCTTTCTGCTACTGACATTCTCGTTTAGTTTGTTTTGTATTTTTTTTTTCGATTGATTTATCATATCAGTAGAATTAACTACCAGGTATAGCATGATGCGTGATAAATCTCCATCTTGTTTATTTTATTTGAATGTTTAATTTTTATTTTATTTATTTTTGTTTTACGTTTCTTAATGTTGAGGCTTGGATTTGTAAATATTTTGAAATTTTACTTTACTGAGTAACACAACTGGCGGGTGGACAAAATAGTCAAAAAGACTTATAATATTTATCGTTATCCTGTAAGTATATTTATTTGTGGAAATATATATACATAAATCGATAGATTTGCAGCAGCTACGATGATAAGCTCAAGCAACAGTGGTGATGACGATAGTTTTCAATCAGCCAGCAGTCACAATGGAAGCTTCGTGAGTATACCTTCACTTTCTGACACAATACAGGCACATTTTTCGGATGTTCTCAGGAACTTTAATGTAGTCCACATTAATGCACAGAGTATTCCGGCCCATTTCCCAGAGATGCTGACTACCTTTGACTGTAAAAGTATTCATGCAATCCTTATTTCGGAGTCATGGTTAAAACCATGTCTTCCCTCTACGTCTTATTCCCTTCCTGGCTTCCAATTGATAAGAAATGATCGGGCGAATGGTGTGGGTGGCGGTGTTGCCATATACCTACGTCATAATATTCCTCATCGTATCATAGATTTGTCACCGCAACCACCACCACCAAACGCAGGTGAGCATCTGTTCTTGGAATTGGAACTCTTTCACATCAAATTACTACTTGGTGTGTACTATTCTCCCTCCTCTCGTATAAATTTTCTGCCCTCATTTGAATCATTATTAGATTGTTTTACACCCACTTACCATCACTGTATCATCATGGGAGATTTTAACACATGTCTGATAAAAAATGATCATCGCTCTTCCTCCCTTACCAGTACAGTCGAGTCTTATAATATGTCTATTCTCCCTTTGAATTCTACTCACCACTTTCCTAATTCTACTCCGTCCCTTCTAGATCTTATACTCGTTTCCTCGTTAAATGCAGTAGCTAAGCATGGACAGTGCTCAGCTGATGAATTTTCCTACCATGACCTGATATTCCTTTCGTATAAACTACGCCCTCCCAAACCTAAACCCAAAATCCTTATGCAGCGCAATTTTAATGACATGAATCTCGAAACACTCCGACGAGATGCTGCTGGAATCGATTGGAGTTTGCTGGTAGAAATGAATTCCATCGATGAAAAAATCAATTTATTTAATGCTAAGCTAACCAGCCTCTACGATATACATGCGCCGGTCAGGGCTGTCAGGCTTAAACATTTACCCTCACCTTGGCTAACAGACGATATAAAAGCTTTAATAGCTAAAAAAGCTGTAGCCAAAAGTAAGTTTAAATCTCGGCCAACACCTATAAACCGAGAAAAATATATTACCATCCGAAATCTCTGCAGTAAGGCTTGTAGGAAATCACAACGCCAATACATTCACAATTCGGTCGAGAACGGAGACCCGGCAAAAATTTGGAAGTTTCTCAAAAAATTGGGAGTTGGTAAGTCATATTCACATTCTGATTCCAACCAAATCGACATCGAGTTGCTAAATCAACATTTCTCTTCTTCGGTTCAATTTAACCAGACCAGTAAGGCAAATACCTTACAATATCTTTCCACGCTTCCAGCTCCTAATTACTCACCGTTCTGTTTTAATCAATTAACTGCTTGTGGTGTTAAAGAGTGTATTATGTCCATAAATTCCAATGCTGTTGGAAACGATTGCATAAGCCGTAACATGATCCAACCAATTCTTGATGAACTGTTACCTACAATATGCCATATCCTAAATTACTCCCTTTTTGCCAGTACTTTTCCGGAGGCATGGAAAGAAGCACTACTTATCCCACTACCTAAAAAGAAGAATCCCGCATCCTTCTCCGAGTATCGCCCCATTTCCATATTGCCCTTCCTTTCAAAAGTCCTTGAACGTCTTGTTCACATCCAGTTAAATTCATTCCTTAATAAAAACCAACTCCTAAGTCCTCTCCAGTCAGGTTTTCGTGCGGGTCATAGTACGGCAAGTGCGTTGATCAATGTTACTGACGACATCAGGCTTGGAATGGAAAATAAAAAACTCACAGTTCTTTCCTTACTGGACTTTAGCAATGCTTTTAATAGTGTAGATTTCCACATCTTGCTGGCCATATTGCGCTCTATTAACATATCTCCAACAGTAACTGATTGGTTTCAAAGTTACCTGTTTGGTCGAAGGCAGCGTGTGCGCCTTGAAGAATCTTTTTCATCTTGGTGTAAAACGTCTGCTGGCGTCCCACAGGGTGGCGTTTTATCTCCTCTACTTTTCACTATATTTATAAACTCTATCACTAAGTCATTAGCCTCATCCTACCACCTTTATGCAGATGATTTTCAAATATATACACAAGCACCGTTACATCAATTATCTGAAGCCTTTTCAACTATTAGTCTAGACCTGGCGCGCGTGTGTGACTGGAGCAATGAGTATGGAGTTGTAGTGAATCCGTCTAAGACCCAACTTATTGTTGTGGGCAGTCCCGGGATGGTATCAAGAATAGACTGGTCACAATTACCGAATATAATGTTCAACGGTACTGCACTACCAATGAGTACTTGTGTTAAAAATCTAGGGATTTACATTGATAATACCTTATCCTGGGGCCCCCAATTGCGAGAGGTCAGTCGAAAACTGTTTGCATCGGCGGGATCCTTGCGAAGACTACGCAATTTTCTCCCAACGGCAACTAAAATTGCGCTTGCACAATCCCTCCTCCTTCCTATACTCGACTATGCTGATGTCAGTTATCTCGATATCACGGAGGAGCAACTAGATAAACTTGAGCGCCTTCAAAACTTTTGTATAAGATTTATATTTGGATTGCGCAAATATGATCATGTATCTGAATATCGCAATCAGCTTAAGTGGCTCCCAATTCGCCTTCGACGGAATGCTCATATTCTTTCCCTTCTTTATAGTATTATATTTCATCCGTTTACTCCAACTTATTTAAAGGAACGATTTGTTTTCCTTGGTGACACACATTCGAGGACCCTGAGGTCATCTGAATCTCTGGAACTGGCAGTACCATCTCACTGTACCACGTTTTACGATAAGTCGTTTACTGTACAGGCTGTCCGACTATGGAATGCTTTGCCAATGCCTATAAAACGTGCAAAAACTTTATCTACCTTTAAAAAAATGGTCAAAGAACACTACCTGTCATTTTAATTTATTATTTACATAACATATCCTATCTGCTGTATTCCTCTGCAAATGAATGGTAGAGTTTATGTATTTGTTTATGTATTATATAATCCTTATAGTTAGTATTTACTTGTATTTATATAAGTAGGTATTGCTGGGACTGACTGCTGTATACAATTGACACTACTTTGTTTTGTAATTGTCAAAGGAATGCTGTTGTGCTGTATAAATATTATTCTTTTTGTTTTTAGTTTCCTTTACACTTTTTCTCACCAAATCTGCCCATGAAATTACCTATTTACAGTCTATTTGTCCATCCAAAGGTTGCCTGTAAGATATTGCTTTTTAGCGATAAGGCCGCCATTTGTACATGGTCATTAACCTTGAATACTATTGTATGTATAATATCCTGAATTGGTGTACAATAAAGATTATTCTATTCTATTCTATTCTATTCTATATATATATATATATATATATATAATTAACGTGATTACAATATTTAAATGTGTTCATAATGAAAATGTGCGTATTACTAATTTGTTATGTAATTCTTTTCGTTTATATTTCAGCTGCAATACCCGGCATATCCCTCGTGTTTGGCAACTTCCTAGCGCCGCCCGTTATGTCCCGATATGGAAGGAAAGTCGCCAATCTCGTAACCATCGTACCCCTCATCGCATCATGGGTATTCATCTTCGTCGCCAGCAATGTCACAGTCCTTCTCTTATCGAGGTTCCTCCAAGGACTATGCATGGGGATGTGCACCTCATTAGGGTCACTCCTGATAGGAGAATACACCAGTCCAAGGAACAGAGGAGCCTTCCTAATGACGATATCAGTATCCATCGCCTTTGCTGTTTTATCCGTTCACTTGTCGGGATCCTACCTGAGTTGGCAGAATACTGCTTTGATATGCGGCGTGGTAGCAATCGTAGACTTGCTTATAGTAATTTATTCACCAGAATCTCCTAGCTGGCTAGCGGAGAGGGGAAGGTACGAGGCCTGTAAAGAGACTTTTCGGTGGTTGAGAGGAAATACTGAAGAAGATGAATTGAAAAAACTTATTGAAGCGAGTAAAATATTGGCAGAAGCTAAAGAAATCTCAAGTAAACCAAAGTCTGTTGTGAGGAGAGCTATGAGTAACATTGAGTACTTTAAGACAGCTATACGGAAGAAAGAGTTCATCAAACCAATAATTATAATGATACATGTGTATATCGTGGGTCAGTGGAGCGGCATCAATATGTTGGTTGCCTTCCCTATCGATCTATTCCACAAAATGATAGGAGACAACTGTAACATACCTTTATTAGTATTGACTTTAGATGTACATCGAATAGTAGCTAACACTATAGCTTTGTATGTTATACAGAAAGTAAAAAGACGGACGATTTTAAAAGTAACTGTCTGCATCAATATGATTGCGTTGGTGTCTTGTGCTGGGTATTCTTATGCAAAAGTAGTTAACTTCATACCCCCCGGTGAGTACGCGTTAGGGATATCTTTAATTCATTTACATATGTTTTCGGTCGCAACCGGTGCATTGCCCTTATGTTTCATAATAGCTGGTGAAGTATTTCCTCTGGAGTACAGAGGTTTAGCTGGCGGCATAAGCATGTTGTTTTATTCAGCAAATCTTTTCTTGGCAATCAAAACAGTGCCAGGACTCCTTAGTTCTGTCAATCTATACGGAACTTATTTATTGAATTGCGTTTTAATAACGTACGGTCTGCTAGTGGTATGGACTTTGCTACCAGAGACGAAGGACAGGACATTGCAGGATATTGAAGACGAGTTCAGGGGCAGACCGCTTACTCTTGAAGAGCTGAAGTCCGTGCAGTCTTTGACGTCGTGGAAAGCTTGTACCGCCGAGCGTAGATGTAGTAACCCTGTTGTATTATAGATAATTAATAGATGCTATTTATTTTATTTAAGGTATTTTATTGTTAATATATCGAATATAAATTACACGACGTGATGGACGATGGCACGTTCTTTATATTTGGCAAATAATTAAGGACAACTGCGGTGACCGACAGTATTCACAAGACATTCCAAATGTTACTTATAATGGAAGTACTTATTACAAAACTGATATGATAGCTAATGCACTTAATAATTTATTTATAGACATGACAAATATACCCAACTCTAATACTATTTCTATGCAAATAATTTATATAAATCTATTCTGCTCTAAGTATCAAATAGTATTTATTTGACGCCAACCAATGACAAAAATGTTAACAAAATTATTCATTATTTAAATGCCTCATATTCAACTGGATTCGACGAAATTAATACTAAAATCAAAAGATCTTCTGAATTTTTAGCTGCTGCTTTAAGTAACATCATAAATCTTTCATTATCTGAAGGGTTTTTCCATCAAGACTAAAATGTTCTATTGTAAAACCACTCCATAAAAAAGGCGATAAAAGTGATATGAATAATTACTGGCCCATCACTCTAACTCCTATAATTTCTAAGATTTTTGAAAAGGTTTTGCATGAAAAGCTTATCTCATTCGTAACTAAGTTTAATATTCTGAGGGAAGAACAATTTGGCTTTAGAAAAAATAGGTCGACTTCCTAAGCTTTCTAATTACGACGTGTTTAAACGATAATACACCTGTCGCATCACTGTTCTTAGACATTTCAAAGGCTTTTGACTTTCTAGATCACGAACTTCTTTTAAGAAAACTGCTTCGATATGGGATTAGGGGAAATGCCCTCGAATGGGTTTAAAGTTATTTAACCAATAGGCAGCAATGTGTGGAAATTACACAAATTAGCCGGTCACCAAAACACTATACATAGATCCTTGTATCGTTAAAACAAATGTGGTGTTCCCCAAGGTAGCATATTGGGACCTATTTTGTTCTAACTCTACATAAATGATTTACCCGAAGTAATTCCACACAAGTGTATTTTATACGCTGATGATTTAGAAAAATTACTTAGATTACCAAGAGCAGATCAATTTATCCTTGAATAGTCAAATAATCTACAAATTAATATTAGCAAAACGAAAATGGTTTAATTTCAGCCTTATAAACGTCTGAAACTGCAAATAGAACATGCTAATGAGATTATCGACGAAGTAAACAACACAAAGTTTCTTGGTTGTAATAAGCGATAAAGTGCAGTTTGAAGGCACACACTGATGCTGAATGTTCTAAAATAGATGTTCTAGAATAGGGTAGCCGGTGTTGAAGCGGCACTTTGCAAGTATCATGGTTAAGTCTCATCAGTATTGCGGTATGGTTTGCTAGTGTGGGGTAGTTCTGTTCACCAGGGACTTCCTTTCCAGGGTATACCTGGTTCCCCGGCTATTAGTACCCGAGACGGCGTGCGGTTTTAGTCGGTGCGGATAGGTGGTATCCGAGGGGATTTCCGCAAGGAAAAAAAAAAAGGGGGTAGTTCTGTTGATTTAAATAGAGCCTTTCGGGCACAAACAAAAATGGATGGATGGATTTGCAGACAACAGCCATTGGACATCTGTGTTCCTTTGTTCAAATAAAATAAGATACAACCGCTCCCATCTTTGTATATATTTGAAATTTGTGTCTTTTTACATAGCCATATCAATTTATTTGAAATCCAGAAAAAAATTACCAGCAGATCAGTAAGAAGAAGTTATAAACTACTTGTTTCTAGACAACATTTAAAAATATGTTCCAACAATGTGTATTGTATGTCCATTCGCATTGACAATAAATTGCCTCACATTTTTAAATCGTTGACTTTTCAAAGGTTTAAACCCAGAGTATTTCTTAAATGACTTTCTGAGTGAGCGTAAGAAAAGAAGAAGTGAGCGTAAGTAAAGAATTGTTCAACACCAGTTTTCTGTGAGGCTGTGGTGTCACTCCGGTCGAGCCTGACCATTTGTGCCGAAGCATGGCCCTCCCGCGGCATAACGTTGTTATTATACACTGATATTGTAAAATATACCAGATGTTTCATAGATGAACCCTGAATAACATAAAGAGACGTTTCTTATATAAAGGGAAAGATATGTATTTATGTGTATTTCAGTATGTATTTATGGAAATCTGTCACACTTTTTCTGTCCATCTCCTTAATTATTATTATCCTATTAAAACAAAAAACTAAATTTCTAGTGTACCTATTCAGACATTTTCAGGAGAAAATGCCTGTGGCATAAAGTTCGTCATTATAGAATACGAGTATTGTTATTTATGCTAAAAAAAAAGTTAAAAGAATGAAATGAAAAAAAAAATTTTTTTAGTCTTTAGTTCTGAATAAGTGCCTCTAGATAAGAATATGGGGTTTGAAAACTTGCAATTCGAGGAACCTTCGATTTTGCTTCAATATCAACAATAGTATTTGGTTAATATGAGATAAAAAAAAAATAATAATAATTGTTGCTGCAGTAGAATAACTGTGTAGTGCTAACAATAAATATAATTTCTATAAATAACTGGGGATCGAATCTACAGCATGCGACACAGTTACCGCTTCTAACTACACTTCACAATTTTATTTTTCATTAATGCAGCCATTATTCTAAAAAACAAAAAAAGTGAATAAATGGGACGGAAACAATAGGGCTAAGTCACAAATAATACGAAACAATTATATTTATTGTAAATTCGTCAGTAATAAATAAACTAGTACAATTGCTATTATGACTGTTAGTGGCGAGACAACCTTCGACCCCACCAGACGCATGTGATACGCACTGACAGAGCTCTACGCTGTTTACTTAATCCCATGTGTTGTGTTCGCTCTGCTATGGAGTGCGCGATGGTCGAGTGGTGACGTCGGCGGCGCCAACATGGAGGCGTGGATCACTCCCTTCACGAAACAAGTAAGTTGACTCGGTTCCGTGCAGTGATCACCTCACCATGTCGATATAGGCTACTTAATCGTGTTTGTTCTCACACGCTACAAGTTAGTGAGGGGAAATCCAATTAAGTTTATGTAGAGATTAATTCTCTTTGTTTACTGAGTATGATAAAGTTTTGTTTGTTTCCTACAGTACCTCCGTATCTACTTTTAGAGCACAGAAAACAATGATTTTAAGTAAATTATTTTAGTGTTTCATTACCTGTATCATAGCACCAGGTTTTTTTTAAATACCAACCATAAAAAATATAGGTATATAGGTATGATTTAATTGGAGGAAAAACTTACAATTTTTGCATAGAGGTTAATACAGATAGCGCTCACAAGGTACTGACCGGCATGCGCCAATGTCACCGTTAACACCTTTCTTCTTTATCTTCTCCTCTTCATACTGCCTTATAAATAACATCACTTTTGTCTGTTTGAAAACATTAGGCGCGGTAAGTAGGGCTGACGTTTTAGAAATAACTTTTACAGTCAATTGTTAACAGATTCTACATCTGCACTGCACCGAAGTCATAGCTGGCATTGTTTTTGAAAGATGAGACAGACAGACACACAGGCACACAACAATGATAACAAGTGACTGTGATTCAAACCTGCGACCCCACTGCGGCAGCCCTCCAGTGCAATATGGCCGTGCTACAAAACGTCGTGAATTATCAGTTGTACTGTCGGACTAGTCGCGACATAATATATTATTTACGTGGCTACCTAATATTCGTGTTCTGTCTCTCATTTTAACGTCTCATTGCGAGAAACTAGCAAAAGCATAGACATATCTGGACGAGTACCTTTATTATAGTTACAAACGTTGACACACTTTTTACTGTTTTATGATAGGAACTTTGTAATAATCGCGCATCAGTTTAGTCGCCACAAACAAGTATTGTATAAATATGTTTTTTTTTACTACAAGTATTACGAATCAACGAGGAAAACAAAAGGATATTTCTGTGTATGATTCACTAGAATTCATTGAAGGAACTGTAGGTAGGTATATGTGTGTTTGTCTGTGTGCGAAATCCTCATCCTCATTAGGTACACATAACCGAAAAATTAAGCCGATCTTATTTGAACAATCTTACAAAAAAATGCAAAAAACAAGTGTAGATACTCTCTAAGTTTTTAGCAACTTAATGTGGTCAAGACCAGCCACAACCACCGAAGAACCGACCACAGCTGGGGAACAAAGGATCGAAAGAAACAAATGACCAAATCAAATAAAAAAAGCCATTGTTTGGTCGCTACATGGGCCAATGATCTGGTACAGTAGGCACCGTGGATTATATGACTTCACAAAGTAACTTAGTACCGTACCTACTGTATAAACAATTATGTAAAAGTACATTTCAGAGTTGAGAACCTACTTTAGATCCACAAGGGGCGGTTGGCGACCTGGGACCACGGAGAGTATAAACATACGAGTGGTTTGTTTCCAGTGCATAGTGACAGCCGGCGTGGCGATCAACGTGGGCCAGTACGGGCTGGTGATGGCCTACACCGCGATACTCCTGCCGCAGCTTAGGACTGGACGCATAATTCCTATAGACGAAATCACCGGCTCGTGGATAGGTGAGGCACTTCTAATTAAGATTTATAAGAGTATTAATTAATTAATTAATAAGAGTATCTTGACAGTCTACATTATGCCTACATACATACCTACAAACTTACTTACACTGACACACTTTTTACTGTAACTTAAAGAAACATTAATTTAAATAATAATAATACAAAAAAAACTACTACTACTTTTTACATTACACATAAGTACATATAGTCATACATACCACCTCCACCTTTCTCGAAGTCGGTCTAAAAAGGTACAGAAGGCGGTTCACGTTGATCAAAAATATAACAAACATCTCTGTTTATTTATTTTGTAATGTACTTAGAATTAAATCTTTCATTGTTATTTTACAGCGGCCGTTCCAGGATTTACACTTTTCCTGGGAAATGTGACAGTACCCGTTATTATGGGCAAATGCGGCAGGAAGGTGGCCAACACTCTGAGCGTAATCTTCGTCATCGTCGGTTGGCTCTGCATCGTCTTAGCACAAAACGTTACTTACCTCATCATCGGTAGACTACTGCAAGGCTTATCTATGGGCATGAGCACATCACTCGGCCCTATATTGATTGGAGAATACAGCAGCCCCAAAGACCGAGGGCAGTTCCTCTCAACAATAGGGCTTTCAACGTCCATTATGACTTTCCTGGCTCACGCTCTGGGCTCTTACACAACGTGGGATACGACCGCGGTTGTCTGCTCTGTTATATCACTCCTAGACCTGGTAATAGTCCTGTACTCCCCGGAGTCGCCGAGCTGGTTAGCTGAGCAAGGAAGATATGACAAATGCACAAAAGCATTTCACTGTTTAAGAGGAGATACTGACGAGGAAGATGAATTAAGGAAAATGATTGAAATGAATGAAATAGCTAGGTTGTCGAAGATCGAGTCCAATTCCACAAATGCTACGTTCAAAATAACACTGAAAAAGTGTTTCGAGTCATTCATATCCACCGTACAGAAGAAAGAGTTCTATAAACCTATTTTGATAATGATCCACATGTATATGATAGCGCACTGGGGTGGCATTAATCTCTTATCGGCTTATTCGTTCGATGCGTTCCATCACGTGATAGGAGACAGCCAACACGACCTTGTGATGGTGATCACACTGGACATTCAAAGGATTATTTCAAATGTTGTCGGTCTGTTCTTGATGCGAAAACTGAAGCGACGCACGATGCTATTCGCGGCGACGCTCCTTAACATCGCGGCGCTGGTAGTGACCGCGGTCTACTCTTACCTGAAGGTGAACGGCCTGCTAGACTACGACGACGCCATGTTTGGAGCCTTTCTACTTCACGTCCACACGTTCTCAGTAGTGGCAGGGTCATTCCCGTTGCCGATGGTGATCTCGGGTGAAATATTCCCAATGAGATACAGAAGCCTGGCGAGTGGGCTCAGCGCGATAGTCTACTCGTTAAATTTCTTCGTGACCGTCAAGACAGTGCACGTTATGTTGAGAACGGTGCATCTTTACGGCACTTACTTTATTTACGCAGGTGTGCTTGTGTACTGTTTAGTCATGGCGTGGTTCTTCTTGCCGGAGACAAAGGACAGAACGTTACAAGATATAGAAGAGGAGTTCAAGGCAAAGAAGAAGAACACAGATGATCTCAGTACCGCACAGCCGCTCCGACCTCTGAATGGGACTACGAAATAGGGTTTGTATTGTGTTGATCATTAGTACTCCGACGTATCTACCTATTGCTATTCCAGACGACTTGAAAAACAAGGGACAAAGACTCACTCCGAAGTGAAACGAATCACTGCCACTATCAAATACAGTATTCTAAAAAATAAAATAGTTCTAAGATTTGTAAATAAAATTATTTCTTGTATAAGGTTACGTCGTTTACAATTGGGATTAAAAAATTTCAGATACAGGTGTACCTGCCTGTTCGTTGAAGCTCAGTACGACGTCGTAAGACGATATGTCTATCCTCACATACCTACTGTTATAATTGTAGATAAACTGTAGATCTTGTTCTGAAATATAGCAAAGTATTCGACTCCTGTTAATGTAAGCGAGTCCACAGTCCACATTATGGCGGTTAGGGATAGTGAAAGACAAGGCATAGGTACTTTAAAATATATCATGATTTATTGTCGTATCACATTTCCATTTTAGAATACTGAATATCAAAACTACACTTACTTATTATATTGGACTCGTTCCAGGGCGGCCGACGAACCCTCTATGGCCAAAACCAATTCTATTAAACCTTTTATTTAGAAGATTACATTTATTACGTCGACGTGTTCGCCGCACGTGACCTTCACGACCAGTACCGCGGTGAGTCGCGGCGAGGCAGCCGACGCGACGTGACCTACTTATATTGCTGTGGTCTCCGTAATCTTGTTTATTTGGCAGCACCAACATGAATGTAAACTACTACATCTTTTTACGTCCTCACAGAGAACCGACGTCTAGCCTTTCTTTCGTTGCTTTACCTGAGTGAGGTAACCAGAGGACCAACAAAAACCTAAAATTCCTAGTTGTAGTCTTAGAGTCAATCTTATCCCATTAAGATAGAGTTGAAAATCGTATGCGTTGATAAACTAGGATAGATGCATACGATCTTCAACTTTATGGTAATAGAACAAGATTCATATTCTGTCGCTAAATCTAAGTTGATCCTCTGTCGTTCAGATGTCGCCCCTCGCTGTAAGAGCGTTCACTAATGGACACCATCGCATACGTGAGCTTTCTGTTCTAGATATGAGGTCTACAACAATGTTGATATGTATGAAGCTTTCAGTTTAAAATTGTCTTTATATAAAATAGGTTTAAAGGAATGTTGTCGCTGGTCGGCGGCCGCCCTGAACCCTGAACCGAGTGCTTACCACTAAAGTATACACAATTTATAAATTAACAATAATAATAACATAATTTGGTGCTTTCGTTTGTGAGGTGCATTAATATCTACAATATTTATAAAAAACGTACATAAACTAGCAGACATTTATAGTATTCTAAAATCTTTAGATTAAACATACGATAACTGTTGACGTTTCGAATTGTTACTTTACTTTCAAAATACATCGATAATTATCTTTAATTAATTTACCCCGCACTAGACAAAGACAGAGAAAGCACGCGGACGGCTGAGACATTGGCGAAAATTTCAGATTGGCATACAAATACCTAGTCATGAACAGACTTAAAGTAAAACTTGATGTTTGGAATATGGTTTATGTAATGCTTGCCATTCCCAACAGTTTCACCTGCTTTGAAGTCACTGCTCCGCTCCAAACGGTCTAGCGTAATGTTGTATAACCTATAATTCCTCAATGAATTTTCGAGCCCATACAAAATTATTTATTCAAACGTATTTACTGATCATTCGAGAGATTAGACCACACAAACGAACATAACAATAAGAAACCTCCGCTTTTTATAAAAAGTATAGATAAGTATCAAATTCTTACGTAACACCATGTAAAACTAAACTACACCTTCTTAAAAATAGAAACATAATATATTAAATTAAATTGTCAAATCATAAAATAATGGTAAACAATTGTTCTAGAAACGTAAAAACAATTCATAATTATGTTGCTGTAAGCTCACAGTTGCTTCACTAAGCTCGACACTCGCCGTAAACCCTAAATATATTATAATTGTAACGGAAGCAAAGTCACTAAAACATAGATTATCGTTATTGGTGCGACAAACGAGACGATTTTGAAGCGTCCAAGTCCTACTCGTTTTGACAACATTTGGTTTTAGAATTACATTTGAAATTGAAGAATAGAAGTCTTTGAAAGTATAACAAGGGGCTATCAAAGCAGATAGTGAACAAGTGAATTATTGAAAAAAATACAAATAGAAAAGTTGTTGCGGCAAAGCCTTGTCATCGAACATTATAAATCAACTAATGTTTACCCTTCTTCTTATTCTATTCCTGTTCACTCTATGGTTTAGAATGCGCTACTTTTGGAAATTATAAAACACTTGCATTTGTTAACGATTCACAGTTGAGTTGCCAGCAATTGTATTAATAAGATATGTATTAGCTCACACAAAGAAATATTATAAATATTAATTTATATTGTAATTTATTTATAGTACAATATATTGTATCATTTACAATATTATAACTAAATACCACTTACAATAATAGTGTTAATACTATTTTTATTAACTAATCTATATTTAATTAAATTCGCCAATGTGTGACCAGGAATTTATACAATGAAACTTTTAACAGCTTAAAAACCCCAGGTTTAAAATGTTCAGTCAAAAGTCAGAGGTTAGGAAATGTAATTCCCAACATGAAGTTTTGTAAGTATGCAGACCTACAACCAAACCTCCTTTCCAAAGAGAGGCCTATGTCCAGCTGTGGACTGTTAGAGGCTGTTGATGTGATGCAGAACATGTTCGGTTGCCATTATATAGATAGACACTTGTCTTCGTTCGTAAAGGGACTTATTACTTTAGTTTCACCGAATAGCTCGTCCAGGCATTCTAGCTTTGTGATGATAGATGGCATTTATATAAATGGTACGAATGTAAGTTGTTACTCACATTATGATGTGAATGGTAAATGATTATATGTGAACATTGAAGTAATTAATATAAGTGATGACTCAGTGATTGGTCAGACAACCTCCTGTAACGTGTCAAGTTCGCCAAGAAAATAAGGGAGCACAAGCACAGAGTCAACAAATCTGATTTAGTTAAGTCCAATTAGAATCTATTTATGACAGATGTACTGTTTCACTCACGTGTGTGTGTCGAGGATGATACTCTAATTTGGAACCCCACGAGCGCCCTCTATCAAGGAGTGAAGCGACCTGTCACGACGACGAGTGTGACGCCTAATACCAAGGCATCCCCGAAACACACACGTTAATTAAAAGTATAAGTATATCTGCAATAAACAGCTAATATTATTATTTGCTGTTTATTGCAGATATACTTAAGATAAGATATATAAGATGAATCTCACGTGCTAAGTGATAAGGTCTCGATTTAATACATTTTGTTCTAGCTTAAGTCGAGAGCGTCGACCCGATTACCTAAATAGCACAAAACCAGCCCGTAGCCTGCACTTTGTCAAATTTTTACAAATAACGAGATCAAATAATATAAGCAATTACTATATATACACAAGTCATGTAAGGCCTAGGTAGGTACATTCACACGACAACTACTGAGAGTGGAGACGGGGAAAGATATTCATAAGAATGAGACGCAATTAACAGTCACCAAAATATGCGCATTGTATTGGTTCGACATATATTTGATACGCGCGTCAATTACAGAAGCGCAAATGTATTATTTCGCGCAATAAACTGTTCAAGTCATTGACTAATTATCGAATCATTCCGTCACCATTGATTAATAGAAAATAATTGTATAATTGACTACCTACATTTTGGTTAGGACTGAATACAAAATTGGTCCAAAATTATGTTTATATTGTAAGACGCGCTGTTCACCGCACATATTCGTTAATCTCAAAAATATAATTCACTATGAGTGTTACATTATTCAATATACATAAACATTTTAAATATGTTCCTTTCTAATACAACTAAATTTGTTAAAGTTTTTTGGAAACTAGAACATACAAACCTACGTATTAGTGTTGCAGTAGAAACAGAAAGAAACGAAACATCAGTTACAACATGTCCAAGCTTCAGGCGCGGGCAACAAGTCCAAACATACGTAATACGTCATCGTCTGGTTTTTGTTGTGAATCTTTATTCTTAAAAAAATACACTGAGCTAAGACCTCCAGTGTGACCAACGCTAATAGTTCCCTGAGATTTAGAAAGTCCATCCACAAATAATAGAAGTGTTCTAAGTTGAACTAGTCTCCAGTAACACATGTACAGTATGAGCACCGTCAATGTTAGTGTTGAGTCAGTACGCGGAGGGTTAGAGCGAGGTGGAGGTGACGGACTTGAGGCCCCGCACCAGGATGGTGGGCGGCAGCTCCTTCGTGAACTCGTCCAGCACCTGCAACACAACACGTTAGTAATGTAACCTAACTGTATGTTTTACGTTTTGTTCTTTATAAACGGACCGAGCCGTTTGAAGTCAGGACGCTAAGTCCCTACATCGAGCGGCTGTAACGGCGCGGCCTAAACTAGCGCTGTTTCTATTTTTTTTTTATTTTGTTTCCTCAATTATTAATATCTCAGGCACAGCAGAACGCCGAGATATCTATATATTATAAACAAGCACAGTTGTTCGGCGATATGAGAGTCGAATCGCTAAAGCTTAGGAAGGGGGACTCATTGTCTCCAGACTTCAGATAATGATAAGCGTTTATCAAAGCAGCTGATTTAATCTAAGATGTCGTCGACGAGGTGTGTTTGACCTCAAATCGTGTTAATCCGTAACACGACTTAAGTACGTAAGCGTTGTACGATGAACAATAATAAATGAAAAAAAAACAGTGGCAGTCCGGTAGTGATAACAGAAGTTAAAACTTGAAAATTAAAACATTTTTGATTATACGAGGGCGGGTCAATAAGTCCGTGACTTTTGGAATAAAACACAGATTTTTTGATAAAGAAATCATTTTATTTTTCAACGTAGTCTCCCTTGAGCTCTACGCACTTTGTCCAACGCTTCTCCAATTTTTTTATCCCTTCCAAAAAATATGATTTGTCAAGGTCCTCAAAATAGGCCTTTGTTTGCGAGATGACTTCATCATTGGAGTCAAATCTTTTTCCACCAAGCCATTTCTTCAGGTTTGGGAACAAGAAGAAGTCACTCGGAGCCAAATGGAGGAGAATAGGGCGGATGAGGGAGCAATTCATAGCCCAATTCATGGATTTTTGCCATGGAAACTGCACATGTGTGCACCCGTGCATTGTCTTGGTGGAAAAGAACTTTTTTCTTGGCCATATGAGGTCGGTTTTTTTTCAAATCGTCATTGAATCGGTCCAATAAGTTGGCATAATATTCCCCATTGATTGTTCTTCGCTTTTGAAGGTAGTCAATGTGGATTATCCCACGTGCATCCCAAAAGACAGTCGCCATAACTTTATTGGCTGACAAACCCACCTTGGCCTTCTTTGGCGCCGATTCACCCTTAGAAACCCACTGTTTTGACTGTTGTTTGGTCTCTGGTGTGTTGTGATGGATCCATGTTTCGTCCACGGTTACAAAACGGCGCAAAAATTCCTCCATATTGCGATTAAACAACGCCAAAGCTTCCTGTGAAGTTGTTACACGATTGCGTTTGTGGTCGACTGTGAGCAATCGCGGCTCCCATCTTGCGGAAAGCTTTCTCATGCCAAGTGATCATTCAAAATTGAAACCACTGAGCCATGCGAGATCCCTACGGCTTCCACAATCTCTTGCACTTTCAATCTTCGGTCGGCCAACACCATATCGTGATTTTTTTCGATTGTTTCGGGTGAAGAGACCTCAACTGGGCGTCCAGGACGTTCGGCATCTTCAGTGCTTGTACGGCCACAACGAAATTCAGTAAACCACTTTTTACCATTGAAATCGATGGTGCAGAGTCCCCATAGTATTTATCAAGCTTAGCCTTGGTCTCGGTAATGTTTTTTTTTAGCAAAAAATAATGCTTAATAAGCACACGAAATTCACTTTTTTCCATTTTTTCCTCAAATTACTGGGTAGTCTGATAAAGATAGCTGTCAAACACAAATTAACGTACGCAAGCAATTTCAAATTTTGACAGGAGTCAACTGACAGATGCCTGTTGACAGGAGTAGTGTTGCTTTTTCAGTAGAGGTCAGAAATTCAAAAAGTCACGGACTTATTGACCCGCCCTCGTACATCACCATACCATACAACAGACAACATTTTTGTTTTTCGATTTGTAAAGTTCCAACATGAATATACATCTATGTTGTACGTATATACACAATATATGTTTATATTATATTATATAGTTATATTATTAATATATTTCAACCCAAACTCAACTCATGTGTAAACGGGGCCAATATTATGTAGATACTTGTACAAGCAGGTTATTGTAAGTAAGTTTTATCTTTTGTAATTTGCATTACCGTCACTAGATGGCGCTATTTAATTTGTGTACACGTCTACATCGCGGTATAAAGATTTTCTGACTGTTTATTATAACCCTGATACTGTGTTACTTTAAATATACTCGGTTAACACCGTAAATGGAATTTGGTTGTTTTACTACTAGTAAACCCTTACTCTGTTTACGCTTGAACCCCTGAACAAAGGATTTGTTCATGGTCCTCGAGCCGGATTAGACTTTTAGTCAGTTCGAAGGGCGCCTTTGGTGGGGCGTATATTTTTGTTCGGGGTTCCCCACGGGCAGTGGATTGCTGTCGCAAACGTGGGAGGTTGCAGACCTTCGAAGAGGTCTGAGGTGGACAAAGGGTGGCGTACCCCTGTCCAGGAAGTTGCAGGCCGTCAGGTCTGAGGAGGAAGCGGGTTAAAAAGGAACACGGTTCTATAAATGAGCGGAATCTATATGGTGTATCAGCAGCAGTTGGATTAGAGGCACGTGGTAAGTGCTGTTGTTGGGAAGTGAAGCTGTGACACGGATCGCGGAGTTATTGCAGACAAAGAAGCGTGACATGTGACGACGTTTCGGTAACTTATATCTATCAAGTGTTCGTGAGAAAAACTGTGAGTACTTATTCGATTCTATTTTAAACCTTATAACTAAGAAGATTTTAACATAGTGCGGTGAGATATTGACTTTGGAGTTTAATCAAGAAATTTGGACATTTTGAACTTTATTTATAAGAAACATAATACTTTGATATTTGTGTTAATTTTAAAATATTTTTCATTTGCTTAGCTAATTTGAACTTTATTTCTTTGCTACTTTTATCTTTAGTTTGTGCATGCTTTAGTTAAGACTTAGAATAATTTTATAAAAAACGAAGGAACGGGGAATCCATGCCGGATTTCACCCAGAATTTAAGTGAGTAAAAAGACTTAGAAACATTTCGGATCTTTTCGGTCAAACATACAAAATCTTTTCATTTTATCAGTTGTAAAATACAACTTCAATATGTCTTCGGGGTCTGATTCGGGTGACGAATTTGATTCTTTGTTACTGTTTCAAGAGGATTTAGGTAAACGTATTAAAAAAGCATTGGTGAATTATAAAAAATCGTCTAAAGACAGACTCACCAAACAGTATGGTGAAGGCCGTTTAGCTAATCTTGAACAGTTGTGGTCTCAATTTATAGTCGGTCACGAACAATTGTTACATAAAGTACCCCGTAAACAATTAGTTGAGACTCCTTACATGAAGGATGATTTCTATGATGAAGTTGAAGAAAATTATTTAACTTGTCAAAGTATGATAAAAGAAATGTTGAATTCATTTGGTTCTGTTGATATTAACCAAAGTTATGGTGAAATTAGGAAATCTAGCCAGGTTAAGTTGCCGAAGATTAATATTCCTGTGTTTTCGGGCAAGTATTCTGAATGGAATACGTTTAGAGACTTGTTCAGTTCCTTAATACTTAATAGCAAAGAGTTAGATGGAGTCCAGAAATTGCACTATTTAAAGGGATATCTCACAGGTGAGGCTGAACAGTTATTGAGACATATTCCAGTAACAGAAGATAATTACGAAAGGTGTTGGAAGTTATTGGAACATAGGTATAATAATAAAAAATATATTTGTATTTACATTTTAAAACGATTGTTCAGTCAAAGGAATTTACTAAATGAATCCTCAAATGGCTTGAAGGATCTAATAGATACCACAAATGATTGTTTGTCGGCATTAAAAAATATTGGTGTTGATGTTGATCGTTGGGATGTTATCATTATTCATGTACTTACTTTAAAACTAGACCCGGAGACAAGAAGACAATGGGAGTTTAGGGTTACTGATAATACTTCCTCTGATGAACTGCCCACATATTCTCAATTTAAAGATTTTCTAACAAATCGTTACCGTGCTATGGAGTTTTTGCCGCCGGATAATAGGCCCAAAACAAGTAAACCTTACATTCACTCCAACAATCAACATACTCACCCGGTCAAAACGTTTCACGCGGTGACTGTACAATGTCCGTTTTGTACCGAAGAACATAAAATTGGTAACTGTAAAAAATTTATGAAAGAATCAATTGAAACTCGGCGCAAGTTTGTACAATCTAACAATATATGCTTTTGTTGTTTGGGCAGTAATCACTCTGCAAAGTTTTGCCACTATAACGTGCGGTGTCGTATTTGTAAGGGCAAACATAATAGCCTATTGCATCCTACAGGTAATTTTGGTAAGAGTGCTGCTGAGATTAGTAGCGCAGGTAGTGACAAAGACAGTGCGAGAGAGGCTTGTTCTTCTTCTAATTCTCAATCGGTAGTTGCGTGTGTTTCTACAGAAAGGATATTTAGCCAGGTTTTACTAGCTACGGCCTTAGTTAAAGCCAAGATGAAAAACGGTGAAGGTTTTATGGTTCGAGCACTCTTGGATCAAGGTTCACAGTCATCGTTTATTACCGAATCTACGGTTCAGGCTCTCGGATTACAAAAGACACCTGTGAATAGTACGATTTCAGGAGTCGGCGGTGAAAGCAGGATAGTTTCCAAAGCTATAGTACATCTAGAGCTTGCGTCGCGTTTTGATCCTAACGTGGTCATACATGTAAAGGCATTCGTTTTGAAGTCTATCACCACTCTTATTCCTTCTAGTAAGATTGAGTTGATGGAGTGGAAAGAACTTACCAAAATGGTATTGGCAGACCCAGAATATCATACGCCGAGTCGTATTAATATGTTGTTGGGAGCTGAGGTGTATGGACAGATTATTCAAGATGGTATAAAGAAAGGACCACTCGGTTCACCGGTTGCACAATCCACAAAATTCGGTTGGATTTTGTCTGGTGTGGTTAATAGGTCAACCGAGTCGGCAAACGATGTACGGGTCATGCACTGCCAAGTGGATGAAGGCAATGAATTACTAAAGAGATTTTGGAAACTTGAAGCTGATGCTGAAATACCAAATAAGGACATTACGCTAAGTGATGAGGACAAGTTTTGTGAAAGGTTCTTTGCTGAAACTACGAAAAGGGATATTAAAGGACGTTATATTGTGCGTCTCCCTTTCAAAGAAGGTAATGTTGAGGTAACTAATTCTTTGAAAGTGGCGGAGAAAAGGTTATTTTCTTTGGAAAAAAGATTTTCCAAGGATTCAAATTTAAAACAAAAGTACGAAGAGGCTATAAATGAGTATGTACTGCTTAACCATATGGAGTTGATAGCGGATAATGAGATCAACAACTCAAGTGCCATCTATTTGCCTCACCATGCCGTCATACGAGAAGATAAGGAAACAACAAAGGTTCGACCAGTTTTCGACGCCTCTTGCAAGGGTGAGAATCAAAGGTCTTTAAATGATCATCTTCTTGTTGGACCAAACTTGCAACCTGAACTGAGGCACACTATAATGCGATGGAGACGTGCTCCGATTTGTTTAACGGCTGACGTAGTAAAAATGTATCGGCAGGTGAAGGTGGCTAGGGAGGACATTGATTACCAAAGGATTTTGTGGCGGAACGATCAGAAGTCTAAAATTGAACATTATCGCATGCTAAGGGTAACCTTCGGCGTTGCGTCAGCACCGTATCTTGCGGTAAAGGCGTTACAGCAGGTTGTCTTAGATGAAGGAAGCTCTTATCAAATGGCGGCAAACAAGGCGATGACGGACTTTTACATCGATGATTTGTTGACCGGCTGTGAAACGAAAGAAGAGGGTATAAAATTATATAAAGAAATGAATACATAATTGGAAAAGGCAGGATTCGAGTTACAAAAGTGGACAAGTAATGATGAAAATTTAGTAAAGGCTATGAAAGAAGAGGAAAGAAAGGGTGAGTCTAAGAATGAGTCATGCTATGCTGGAAAGGATGGTATAAAAATAAAGGTGGATGAAGTGATAAAGATTGTTGCACTTACCTGGAAGCGAAGCGAAGATTCATTCCGCTATGTAGTTGACTTACCTAAGCTGGAATTATTCCGGACATTTCTCGCTTCTATGACCCCCTTGGTTGGGCAGGTCCCAGTGTTATATTGCCGAAGATTCTCATTCAGAAACTTTGGTTAGCTGGCCTGGATTGGGATCAAGAAGTACCAAAGGCTCTGCTCGATGAGTGGCTCACCTATAGAGGGGAATTGAAACTACTGGAAATGATCTCCATACCTCGATGGATAGGTACGAGGGTTGATGATAAGGTCGTGGAGCTGCATGGCTTCAGTGACGCGTCGAAAGTTGCGTATGCTGCAGTCGTTTATTCACGTGTAATCGACTCAGAGGGGAGGGTTCATGTAGCTTTAATATCGTCTAAGACAAAGGTCGCTCCTGTAAAACAAGTCTCTATCCCCAGGTTAGAATTATGTGGTGCCGTTCTGCTGACGAGATTGCTGATGGAAGTTGCTGCGGTATTGAAAGTAGACAAAAATAAATTACATGCGTGGACAGACTCAACTGTAGTTCTTGCGTGGCTGAACAGTCACCCTAGTCGTTGGAAGGTGTTTGTTGCGAATAGGGTGTCAGAAATCTTGACGAATTTAGACTCGCACAACTGGTCGCACGTCACGTCGAAGGAAAATCCTGCAGATAGCGCTTCCAGAGGATTGCACCCATCTGCACTTATAGGTAATCAACTATGGTTTCAGGGGCCTGATTTTCTGCACGCCGAACGTGTTGTTTATCAGAAACCAAAGGATTTAACAACGGATTTGGAGGAAACGAAAACATTTCACATTACAGCTGACGTATCTATGTGGAACAGATTTTCATCACTGATGCGGATGGTGAGGGTTATTGCTTATTGTAGACGATTTGTCAGCAATTGTAAGAAAAGACACAAGAGGTGCGGGTTCCTTACTACAGAGGAACTCGATGGCGCCTTAAAGATTGTCATAAAACAATGTCAAGAGGAACATTTAGGGGATGACATAGCAGTGATAAAGAAAAACGCTAACTTACCAAGGAGCAGCAGTCTGCGGTCATTGAATCCTTTCTTGGACGAAGATGGTGTATTACGTGTTGGTGGAAGGCTTACACATTCCCAGCTTACCGAGGATCGAAAACATCCAATATTGATACCCAAGAAATCGCACTTGACGAATTTAATCTTGTCTAATGCACACCGGCAGACTATCCACGGAGGTCCACAATTAATGCTATGTCACATACAGTCTAGATATTGGATATTGGGTGTTAGACAGTTAGTAAAGGCTCACTTTCGGAAGTGTGTGACTTGTGCAAGGACTGCAGGGACTACACAAACCCAGTTAATGGGGCAATTGCCTTCAGCACGAGTCACACCTATACGGGCGTTTAAAAATTGTGGTGTGGATTATGCTGGACCGATCCAGATACGAACCTCGAAGGGTCGAGGTCATAAGTCTCAAAAAGGGTACATTTGTTTATTCGTGTGCATGGCGACACGCGCAGTACATTTAGAGGTAGTAACGGACCTCACTTCGGCGGGATTTTTACAAGCATTCAAGCGATTTGTTGCAAGGAGGGGGCATTGCACAGATGTTTGGAGTGATAATGCCACAAATTTCACTGGGGCAGCCAGTGAATTGCGAAGGCTGTTTGTCATCGAAAATAAATCAATGCTTGATAAAGTAGCAGAGGCTCTTGCAACAAATGGCTGTAATTGGCATTTCATTCCCTCTCGGTCTCCCAATTTCGGAGGACTGTGGGAAGCCGGAGTGAAGTCTGTTAAATATCACTTGAAACGAATTATCGGTCAGTCAACGCTTACTTTCGAAGAAATGACCACAGTTTTGGCTCAGGTGGAGGCATGTCTGAATTCCAGACCTCTAACCGCACTACCTTCCAATGAAAATGAGGAAATATCGGTACTTACCCCGGGACACTTTTTAGTTGGTGAATCTTTGGTGGCTCCACCTGAAAGAAACTACGAGTCGGCAAACGTAAGCTCTTTGAGAAGATGGCAATTTACACAACGCCTGTTGCAGGAATTTTGGCGCTGCTGGTCTCAGCAGTACCTTACCAAATTTTATCATCGGTACAAATGGTCATCTCAAAGTCCACAACCTAAAATAGGAGATGTAGTCATTGTGAAGGAAGATGGTTTACCCCCTTGTCGTTGGATGTATGGCAGAGTGATTGACACCCATCCTGGGTTGGATAATCTTGTCAGAGTCGTCACTTTAAAGGTACGGAATGCCACATTTAAAAGACCAGTTACCAAATTATGTATTTTACCAATAGCAGAGTAAAAAAAAGGGGGTTTATCATTAATTTTAAATATTGTTAATTTTACTTTTGTTGTTTTTGTTTATTGTTTTACGGTCTTATACTGTTTTTTTATTCATGTACACCTTAGCCTATAAACACATTGCCACGGTGGGCGGTGATATTCACCTTTTGGTTGAAGGACATGTTGCATTTTGTCCTTGGTGGGCGGAATGTACAAGCAGGTTATTGTACGTAAGTTTTATCTTTTGTAATTTGCATTACCGTCACTAGATGGCGCTATTTAATTTGTGTACACGTCTACATCGCGGTATAAAGATTTTCTGACTGTTTATTATAACCCTGATACTGTGTTACTTTAAATATACTCGGTTAACACCGTAAATGGAATTTGGTTGTTTTACTACTAGTAAACCCTTACTCTGTTTACGCTTGAACCCCTGAACAAAGGATTTGTTCAATACTTATATACAGAGGTGTCGGCAACGGTAACAGTGTTGCGAGTTCATTGGTTTTTTGTTCATCTTAAAAAATAAATTGTTTTGTTTGTTGTTCAAAAAATGCCAACGCGCCTAAAGAAATTTTCACTTCAAGAAACAGTTTAGATTAGAACAAGTGATGCAGACAGTAAAAATCATGGTTACCTTGAGGTACTGTTCGCAGACAAGGTCGTCGCTGGGCGAGCCCTGGGGCGACAGTGGGGGGGGGCTCGGCAGCTGCACGAACGTCACGGCCGTCGCCTCCGAGCTGCGCTTGATGATGCTGTTCACTCTGAGAAGGAAAGCGGACAATGTTCACTGTTAACTGCACTAAAGTCACACAAATCGTCGCGTTTCCTGGCACAAGTCTGATCTCGGAGATATCGTGTTGTTGGAGATAATTGTGTCCTTATGGCCTCTATCGGAAGCTTTTTTGGGGGGAAAATATCAGCAGGGTACAGAAATAACACTCACACTTGAAGGTAATCGAGCGATACATTCTGGTAGGTGTCGCGTCCCTCGTCGCTACCGCGGCGGCTGAACTCCTGCGGATCGGGCCACTCGTTCACCTAAACGAGTCGCAAACATCAGTACAAGGAGTGTAACGTCATCCGTGCGAGAACGCGTAAAGGACTCACTATGTGTGTGGTGGCGTTGATCCGCAGCAGCTTAGTCAATCGCTCGAGGCGCTCCCCCAGCGCGTAGGGCGCGGCGGGCGCCAGGCCGGCCAGGGCGGGAGGCCCCAGGGTCACCGTCCGACCTGCTTCTGTAAACAATAATAAACGAGCGTTGATCGACGGCGACGAGAGCGAGGCCGGCGCGAGTGGCGGGGGCAGGTTACCGAGCAGGGCGGGGGGGGGCGCGGCGGGCCCGGCCACGGCGCGCAGGCGCAGCGCGAGGTGCTGCCAGCCGCGCGCCGAGCGCACGACGGCCGCCAGCTGCAGCGCGAACAGCCCGCGCACCGTGAACGGCTCCTCGCAGCTCGGCGCCATCAGCTCCACCAGCCACACGTCGATGTACTTCAGCGACGGACACCTCCTGCCGAACGCGTTTCGAAACGATTTCATTATTTAATTTATCATAAAGGTATCGCAGAAGTAACGAACGTAACAGTGTGAAACCGACCGTTCGACGGCGGCCATGTCGAGCCGATGGAAGTGTCGACACAGGCAAACGTTCTTGTTGACGCACAGCACGTCGGACACGATGCGCACGTACTCCGCGGCGGAGAGGCGCGCCCCCAGGGGACCGCGCGGGGGGAAGATCACCTCCCCGCACTCCAGGTCGAACTGCTCCGTCTTGTACGGGGACACCGGGCTGCGGTCACACCGAACGTCAGACACAGAGCGACATCTACGCGGTACTACTACCGACGTTTTCAAATTAGAACGACACGTTTGCTGATTCTAGTGGAATGAAAAAACGTTTTCGTGTTCGTGAAGCGAAAGATGTCGTACCCGCCGGTCGAGATCATCAAAATAAAGCGAATCAAGGATCGGTAGAACGAGGACATCGCCGGTTACTGCGTCTCAATTAGTTGTAATCGTGAACGCATCGATCGTCCCGAGATCAGTAAAGCGGTGAAGAGAGCGACTCACTCCCTGAAGAAGTCCCTGGGCGGCGCGGCGTCGCGGAAGCCCAGCAGCACGGTGTCGGGCTTCATGGCGCCGAGCCCCGCCAGCCGCGCCAGCTGCGCCGCCCCCTCGCGCACCGACCGCGCCAGGCTCAGCTCCACGAACGCCTTCACCTGCGCAACCCGCCACCGGTACCCTCTATACTGCTACTATATGTCTATTTTCTATGTAATAATAATAATTATTATCTTCGATCATAGTTCAAATAGCGAATAGAAAAGTAATTCACTAGTTGACACGTAACGATACACTTTATACTTTACTTTATTCTTGTTATTTCTCACGGGTAGTTTAACGCTCACGCTCGTCGCGTGGCACACGAAGGAAAGTGACGCGTGTGCGTTACCTTGAGATGGTCGATGAGCTTGAGCCAGTACTTGTGCTCGTCGGCCAGCGGGTCTCCCGCGCCGCACAGCTCGCCCACGCGCACGTGCCCCACCACGAACAGCCCGCCCTGGCACGACATACACCACACTATACACACTATATAATGCACCACGCTCAAAGATAAATTCATATGAGCTATGGCAACAAATGCCACTTTAGATCACATTTATTTTTTACGAGGATTTTCGGTTGAACGGTTTGTCGAACTAAAAAGAGGATAGAAAGTGTCCGGGAACGGCAATTAACGTATTAGACATCACATTTTGCCGTCCGAGTCAAGTTCTTACTGGTGATACAAGGAAAAGGAGCAAAAAGTACTTAAGATGTTGGAGTCGTACGCGAGTGATGAAGACCGCCTTATACATTTTCCATGTGAAGTTTTGCATTGGTGAAGTACATTTGATGTTTAAACATGTCAATTTCTGGAGCGATACATATTGCAATGATGTAATTTTAATGATTTGTTCGTATTTATAGTTTAGACACGCGCGTCTGTAAATACGTTTATTAAGGTATGCAGATTACTGTCACACCGTACCTGTCTGTGTATCGCGCGCATACCTTTTTCTGATCGTTGACGAAGTCGATGAGCGGGGCGGAGTGTCTCGGCGAGGCGACCAGCAGCAGCATCTGCGGGCGCCAGAACTTGACGTGCTCGCGCCGCGGGTCCAGCAGCAGGAGGTACTTGCGCACCTGTCGGAACAGCGACAGTCGTGTAGAGCGCGCCTATGGCTATACCGTCAGCGGTGCAGCGGGTGGGTGGGGGTGGGCGCACCTGGTGGAAGATGAGCGCCTGGCTGAGGCTGCCCCAGGTGGGGTCGGCGGCGGCGGGCGAGAGCAGGTGCAGCGCCACGACGAGCGCGCCGCACGCCAGCGCCGCGCCGCACGCGTAGAGCGCGCGCAGCCCGAACATCAGCGCCACGCACCCCGCGAACCCCAGCAGCGACGTCACCCACGAGAACTGCTTGAACGTCGGCCTGCGACAGGTATCGTATCATTCGACGCCCGTTTCGAACACAATAGATTCAATCAAATCAAATCACAATAGATTTGATAATCGAATGCGGCTGTTTACATTGTTTTTAATTATATTTATTGATTTCATGTGTTTTATACATTTTTAAATGGTCAAAAGTATTCAGTCGCTTCGTTTCTTGATAACGGTCCCCCACGAAGTTATCGAGTTAGGACTTATATGATTTGTTTTATTGACGGACGGATTTGGCTCAAAGTGCTGATTTCGAAAAAGATATTTATTTGACCACTACCTTAAGTGTAGAATAGTTTAATAAACACAAACACTGTACTCGGTGCACTTAGGGAGCGACGGTGATAAGGTCTGTGCACATTCAGGCTAACATCCCTAGACACTAACCTGAAGTTGGGCGCGGAGGCGAGGTCCAACCCGAGACAGGAGAGGTTGATGGCGAGGTAGCTGGTCATGAACAGCACGGAGTTGACCTGTGCGATGGCGTTCAGTGAGTCCGCCATGATGCCTATCTGCACCAGCAGCCATGACGTCAACACCGCCAGCACCGGGTTCGAACTGCGAGACACCATCGGTCGCAGCAGGGACCCTGCACACGCACCACTCGTCTATTGTTTACACACTGCGACGAATTACTGTTGCCACTTAATACTGTGCTGTGCATAGCGCAGTAACACTTACCGAATATATTATCCTTGGCTAAAGCTTCCAACACTCTGGAAGCTCCGATCAAGTTGGACAGTCCAGCGGAGAAAGTGGCCATCAACATACCTGTAACGTTAAACGTCTAACGTACCATCGAGCTCGAAAAGTGTGGCGAAGCAGTATATGAAATCTGACAACACTACAATTAGTTTCCAAGAATCAGAAATCGACGGCTACGACTCTGGCAAACATAATCTTTTGTTATCAGAACGTTTAAGCCGAGTAAGAGCTACGGTGAGTGCGAGGGAGAGAGAGGAGAGGGGCACTGACCGACGGCAATGAAGGGCGGCCACACGTTGATGGGCAGCAGGTACACGTAGTTGTTCTGCAGCAGTTCGCGCGAGCACGTGGCGGCGGTGAGCACGCTCAGCGCCACGTACCACAGCGCCGTGAACACCAGCGCGCTCAGCGTGCCCCACGGGATGCTGCGGGACGGGTTCTTCAACTCGCCTGAGCATAGTACAAGCATACTTCGTTACGGTGTACGGCTGCATCAAGAATCCACCATTGAACCGAATACCAGATAACGGTGTGTGACACTGATGACTCTGTAACTATCCCACATTAGAGGTGATCGAAGAGAGGAGGGAGGGACGTTCGGTCTCACCGCTCATGTTGGCGCCGGCCATGACGCCGGTGACGCCGGTGAAGAGCACGCCGAAGACGGAGGCGAAGTCGACGAGCTGGCCGTCCGCGGTGTAGTCGTGCGCGTACGACGGGAACAGATTCTCGTAGAGCGTGGCCGAGCTCAGCCCCGTGTAGTTGAACGCTGTCGTGTTCACCAGGCGGTTGGTGTCCGGGCTGTCGATCTGACCAACCGATGGGTCATTACAACAGTTTGTTTTACAGTCAGCGTCAAACTAAATATGATATTAGACAATACAAAATTACATTTGCTAAGGGTCCGTAAGTGTTAATTCTCACGTTTCAAGTTTCTTATTGTTTTTCTATCGGTACATTACATATAAAATGTCAATGATTTGACAAAAGTACGGTTTTGACGTCATAACGTATAACTCCAACAACTTTCTTCACAACGTAACTTCTAACTTACGATGTTTAACAATGAGAAATTGATTCCTGCTGACAGTGTAACATTGTATTGCGATTGGAAGAACGCTAAGAAACATTAGGGGTCCATAATCGTTTGTTGATATTAAATGTTATTATTTTTTATTAAATTATTTTTATTCATTGTTTATTGCATAGAAAATAACACATTACTTGAGCGCAAGAGTTATTCACGTTTTCATGTTTTGTGTTCGCTCTCACCCTGAGGCTCCGAAATACAAATACGTCAGGTTGCCTTCTCAGTGGTATTACCTTCTCAATCAAGAGAGACTCACCTTGGCTGGTGGAGTGACGAAGAAGCTGATTAGTGCGCTACTCAAACAGATGAGAATGGTGACCCAAATGGCGAGGCTGGTGCGTGCGAACAGCGACGCTCCCGCCAGCGATACGCCCAGTCCGATGGCATTCAGGATCGTCCGGTACAGGAAGCGGTACCACCACCCGTCCGGGATGCCCGGGTTCGACCCCACCAGGTACCCTATACAACAAATGTAGATATTATACAACATAGATCCTATTGGGTTTAGGTCCCCTATAGAAATGACTATTCTTCAACGAGAAGGAAAACCTGACAGAAACCCTATACCAACCTGTCTGGCCAGGGAAGTATATTAAAACCAAAACTTCATTTCTAAAGAGAGGCCTATGTCCAGCAGTAGACTATTAAAGGCTGTTGACGATGGTGATGATAGAAATGCCTTATTTTGGTTTAAATATACAGGTACCGTTTGTTATTGTTGTTGTTTGTGGAATTTAAAGTACATGGTGCGGATAAGATCCGATGCTGTGAACAAACAGACTTTTGCCTTGATGGGACAAAACCTAGCTAACTCGAGTTTTGATTCAATGAAAACTCTTGCAAGATATTTTCAAGAGCTTATACAGCAAAGGCTAAGTCGTCGAGTGGTAGTGCATTCACCGTTGGGTCCAAAGTTCTCGACGAGCGCCTCGGTGCAGGCCGAGATGCAGAGCGCGCTGGAGACGACGTTGGCGAAGAAGAACAGCGAGCCCACCGCCCCCCCGCACTCCGGGCCCAGCGTGCGGCTGATCATGACTGACATTAGTTAAGGATGCACCATCGAACACGTAAATCTAAAAATCCTTTGTATTCAATATTTGTTCGACGAGTAACTTGGCGCCTCGGTTGGCATCGAGCACCAGGCGGTGTATGAAAAAGGATACAGTAAACGCCGCCGCCCTCGACGGCTCCGTTGGTGCAAATGGCGCAGATGGAGGTGACGGTGAACACCACGATGAGGTACGCCAGAGCAAACTGGCCCAGTGTCACCAGCAGCCCCGCGTTACCCACCAGGTAGCCTGACGCAAACAAAAGTTCACATAATAAAAACCAACATAAACTACTTTCTTCTCTTCTCTCTCATGTAAGTAACCCTTAAACTATACGTATGTACGGTATTACCGCTTCTTCTTCTTTTTTTAAAAGACAACTCCTGCACTAGGACTAAATCCTGTGTCACGGGAGACTTTACAAACATATATGGAATGGACACAAAGGACACCCAGACTTAGAACAACAATTTGTGGATGACACAAAGTGTCGTCCTATGTAGGGATCGGACCCACAACACTCGGCGTAGTAGTGAGCGGCGTGGCGACCGCTTAAACCACTTCGCCGTCCGTGCAGTCCTGCCTACGGTATGATTGTTGACATCCTCATTTAGATAACGGATCTGTTTGTAAACGAGAATACAAGAGTTCTGAAATTCGTATTTTCACTACATATTACAATGTATATATACACTCTTATAATATTATACATACATATTGGGAGTGGGCGCTACTGCACCACAGTAAACATCAACTCCGTAGAAAACATCCGTTTAAATATAGAAAAACAGTGTATTTTGGTACAAAAAATGCAACTAGTGCTGAATTATTAAGTGAATTTAACGAGGAATGGAAGATAATGTGAAATGGACACGTATAAATACTATAATAACGGTAAACATATAAAGTGCAAGCAAACATCAGTGTTACTGTTTGTGGACTTTGTTAGTGCAAACAATCGATCAAACTTAAGCCGGACTCCTTCCCAAGTAATACCAAAAGTGAATTATTTAACTTCAAGTGCGGACTCACGAAAGTTATAATCAAACATAACCTAAAATTTGAACTCCAAAATGACGTGCAAATGTAACTCAGGATTCAAGTGACCTACAACGCCATCTAGTAAAAAACGGCCGATATTGCTTCGCCCAGAGCATTACTCCGTAATACTAATCGATCAGTTACGAGGTGTCTTTAATAATACGAAAGTGCACCAACGGAGGGCGACACGAATATATAAACAAGGCCCAGACACACGTATTTCATAAATTATGGAGGAGATTTTGAATGTATTAAAACAAATACAAAGCGAATTGGATGTGCAGAAAACAACAATCCGGGAAAATGGAGAAAAAGTGACCGAACAAGTTACGCGGAATATTAATATTATGTTAGAAGAAAAATTTTCTACATGGGAAGTAAATCACGAAAAATTAAAAGAATTGGTGGAAAACCAGGAGAAAAGAATTCACTTCATGGAAAAACAGGTAAGGCAGAGAAATGTGGTTTTTTTCGGTATCGAAGAAACAGAATCATCATATAAAAACCTAGAAAACAACATAATCAAATGGATAGACCAATACTTCTCTATTAAATTAAACTACTTAGATATACAAGAAGCAAGAAGACTAGGAAAGAAGGGTGACAGACCACGACCAATAGTTGTGACCTTTTCAACGCTAGGAATAAAAATTAAAATTCTTAAGCAAAAACAGATACTGAAAGATACTTCATATTACATCCAAGCAGACTATCCAAAACATGTGCTAGAAATGAGAAAAGAATTAAAAGAACAGTTAAAAGTAGAAAGAGAAAAGGGAAACATAGCCACAATTAAATACGACAAACTGATCATCACCAGTGAGAGAGAGAGCATGAATAAAAGAAAACTTTCTTTATCACCCGAAAACAGCACCGTACCAAAACAAGATAAAACCACTCAAGCCAATAAAAAAAACAAGCTACAGCAACAAGGCTCGAAAGCTCAGAGATCAAATAGCATTTCAGAAGGAGTAAAAATAAAACCTGGCATCTTAAATTTTTTAGTAAATAAAAATACAACTAAGACAAATAACACCCAGGATACAAACGATACAAATATATAGCAATTAAGCCCCTCCTCCTACATAAATCTAAACAAAAATAAAACAAATGAAACCAGAAACATGAAACATCTTCCAACCCGGCTGGTCACCGTGGAAGATTATGACCACAACCCTCCAAAAGAAACTTCACAGACAGAAATCAGGAAAAATAAACCATTAACCCAATTAAAAATCGCAACTTACAATGTGAGGACCCTATCGTCTTACGAACGCTTACTGGAATTAGAAAAAGCAATACAGGAAATTAATTACGACGTAATAGGTATTTCAGAAATGAGACGAATTGGTAACAAAATCGAGGAATACGAGAACCTAATACTTTGCCACATAGGATGTATACTGGGTAAATATGGAGTGGGCTTCATTATAAATAAGTCCCTAAAAAAAACATCGAGAGCTTTATTGGATTAACAGATCGTGTGGCAACGCTAAACTTAAGCTTTCAAGGGTGTATGATATCCATTATACAAGTATATGCACCGACCGACGCAGCGAGCGAGGAAGAAATAGAAGAATTCTATAAGACCATAGATAAGGCGATGGAAACAACATATAAAAACATTATAATAATGGGCGACTTTAATGCGAAGGTTGGTGCTCCCAGAGAAGGTGAGTACTTAACAGTGCAACAGCATCGATACGGCGAAAGAAACGACAGAAGGCAAAGACTTGTTGACTACGCACTAGAACATAATCTAACCATCATCAACACATGCTTCAAGAAAAACCACAACCGAAGATGGACCTGGCGATCCCCAAATGGAAAACACAAAAATGAGATTGACTATATTCTATCCAACCAACAAAAAATATTCCTAAACTTTGAAGTCATGAATTTAAACTATCCATCAGACCATAGACTAATTAGAGCATCAGTAAAAATTACTAAACAGAAACAAAGCAGACTTAAATTCACAAATAAAAAAGGATTCCAACTAAATAACGAGGAAGAAGTAACAAGTTATAATAAAAACCTAAGGTCAATGCTACTCTACCCAACCATCAACTTGCAAAATACCTCGGTACAAACCTACTACGATAAAATAACGGACGCTATCAGCCAGAGCTTGAAAAAAGCTAGAGAAGAGGTGAGTAATACACAAAAACATCACAAAATATTATCAGATCGCACAGCTATGTTATTAAAAAGGAGAAAAGAACTACAAGAAACAAAAAATAAAACTCTATCTATAAAAAACGAACTCTCCGCTCTCTACAAAATAACAAATAAATACATAAAAAGGGATTATGCTACATATAGACAAGAAATAATAGAAAGGCATTTACAACGCACAGGAAGCACAAAAAGAGCTTTCAAGGAGCTCAGAACAAGCAAGACTTGGATAGAGGGGCTAGATAAACAAGACAGATCTTTGTGCAAACGAACTGACATTATTAAGGCGGCATCAGACTTTTATAAGAAATTGTATAGCGACAAGACCCAAAAGACTAACATCTCAACTACTATCAATGAAAACGTAAATGAAACCACAATTAAACCAGTCGACGAAATTGAAATCATAGAAACAATTAAGAGTTTGAAATTAGGAAAGAGCCCTGGCTCCGACAACATCACAAATGAATTGTTGAAAGCAGCGCACACAACATTAGCCGAACCATTAGCGGAACTGTTTAATTTAATCCTGCAACATTCTGAAACACCCTTGCAATGGTCTGAATCAAATATCATACTTCTTTACAAAAAGGGAAATCCGAAGGATATTGGCAACTACAGACCGATAAGCTTGTTACCAAGCCTCTACAAACTTTTCTCTACCATTATAAATAAAAGAATCAGTAGTACACTGGAAGCAAAACAACCGGTAGAGCAAGCAGGCTTCAGAAAAAGATTCTCTACTGTTGACCATATACACACACTTGAACTAATTATAGAAAAGTATCAAGAACAACAGAGACCACTATACATAGCGTTTATTGATTATCAAAAAGCTTTTGATACGGTAACACACATAAGTATATGGGAAAGCTTAAAACAACAGGGAGTAGAAGACGTATATATAAAGGCCATCAAAAGCATATATAACAACAACAAGGGTAAAATCAAGCTAGAAACCCTCGGACCTAGTTTTCCTATAGAAAGAGGTGTAAGGCAGGGCGACCCGTTATCCCCAAAAATATTTATAGCCATACTGGAGGCTATAATGAGCAAGCTGGATTGGAGCAAGACAGGACTGTGTATAAAGGGCGAATATTTAAGCCACTTAAGATTCGCAGACGACCTAGTGTTGTTGTCGGAGTCCAGCACCCAGTTACAGCTCATGATCGAAACTTTACATCTAGTTAGTGTCAAGGTGGGATTACAAATGCATCTCACTAAAACTATGGCAATGACGAACAAGGTGAGAAGATTAATAACAATAAATGGAGAGCCACTAAAATATACAGACAAGTACATCTATCTTGGGAAGCAAATCAGTTTTGACAGAAAAAATAACGAGCTTGAAGTCGAAAGAAGAATACAACAGACATGGAAAAGATACTGGAGTTTAAAGGAAATCTTTAAAAGTAACCTCCCTGTAACCATCAAAACGAAAGTTATGAACTCCAGCCTCTTACCATGTTTGACGTATGGATGCCAGACGTGGAAATTCACCTCAAAACTGAAAAATAAAATTACAACTTGCCAACGAGGACTAGAGCGCAGCATGCTTGAAATAAGAAAAATATATAGAATACGACATACAAAAATAAGTTCAATAACCAAAGCAACAAATGCATTGATTTATGCACAAAAACTAAAGTGGAAATGGGCGGGTCATGTCGCTAGACTCAAAGATCAGAGATGGACCCAAAAAGTGACATTCTGGAAAGGTCCTCCAGGTAAAAGGAGCAGAGGAAGACCGTTGTCACGTTGGGACGAAGAGATTGCAAGGACAGCCGGCCAAAACTGGAAACAGACCGCACAGGACAGAGACAAATGGGCATCTTTGGAGGAGGCCTTTACCCAATATGGGGTTCCTGCAGATACTGCTATAAAATAAATTATGTTAGGCTACAATACCATGTTATTCTAAATAAGTTAAATAAATAAGTAAATTAGAAACGTAAACACACTAGTTAAGCGTATTATATATAAATATAAAATATTAATTTAAGCAAAATCCATCAAAGAAAAACTAGCTAAGTGAAGTTAATTAAGTAATCAAATTAGATAAGTAACAAACAATGTAAAGTAGGTAAATAGTAGGAAATAAAAGGCTTTTTTATTTATTTATTTATTTTATAATATTCATATACAGTATACAATGTAATATATGTTCAATTTTATTTTGACTAGCGTATTAAAAAATTAAAATGAAATGTTTGAAGTTATTAAATTGTGCGTGAACATATTTCCTTCCGGTTCCACAACAATCACAAGCCCAACGTGAAATATAACAATACCACGATTTTCGATTCGATGTTAGCTTTAGAATTAAGGTTTATATAAGAATCTATGGATGCTCTGATATCGGACAGACGGGGGTGAGGTCCAGAGCAGATATGGCTAGGAAGGGTGTCAACAGTGGGATGACGAATGATACTCGTAGAGTAGAATGTAAGAATCATACTTACTGCCAGACCCCAAATAAAATTGGGATAAGGGAAGCAGATGATAATAAGAATCTAATGACAATAAAATGGAAAGCAAATTCTAAAATGTTACCAAGACCTTGTTATTCTGCAAATATATTTTTTTGTATTTTTTATTTTAAAATCAAAAATACAATTTATAACATGATATACACAGCAGGCCAAAAGTTTAAGACCACATTTAAACAACATAATTATCTATCTATCAATAGTAACGAAATCCCATACGATAAATAAAAGAAATGTACACCTGCATATTCTATTGTTAATATCGAATATCTAAAGAAGTCATTCTTTTATTTACTGTCAAGTTATCGGTTAATAAACATGTATTGTTTTCAAACACCGACAAACGCTACGTTAGAGAGAGAGTCGTAATAATATATTTATGATGTGCTAATAACTAATTGCTTTACTTTCGTTTTGTCAATAATAAGGATTATTTACCTTCTAAAAACACGTGTTTCCGATTTATTATTACCTTTTACTTTTTTTTTTTGTTTTATTATTACCGTTTACATGGGTTTGTTCACAAACAATCTCAATTAGTCTAAACTTGTGGTTTCTACAGTGAAGACGTCTTAAAATGGAAAAAGCACGCGAAATTAGCAGTGAAGTGCGTTCTGTTATCGTTGTTTTACATAATGAAGGCAAATCCGAACGTGAGATTGCTTTACAATTGAAGTTATCGAAGACAGGCAGTTTTCAAGATCGTCCACGCTCGGGAAGGCCGAGAGCTTCGATAGGAACTTCCGTAATTGTGGTCCAACCTCGCGAGAAGAAATGTGGAATGCTTTATGCGAAAGTTGGAGCAATATATCACAAGACACTATCAACAAATTGATTGTCCGTATTTGTGAAAAAAGTCATAGAATTTAAAGGAGGATTTTTTGATGAAAAATCAGTTTTCACCCTTTATATAGAGTTTTATTGAATTTTTCTACTTTAATTAAGGTGGTCTTAAACTTTTGGCCTGCAGTGTACAAAACAATTTGTTATATTAATAATAAATCATTTTAATAAGTAACTATTTTCCGAAGGACCCCTTTCTTTAGTCACGTCTATTCTTTGATATCGCATAATATGCTAACTAAAGCTCAAATACGATAAACAAATTATCAGAACACGTGAATGTCCTTTAAATATGCAAATAGAGCCGATAGAAACAAACTTCGAAACATTTTACTTTTGTTGTCCGCTTAACGTGAAATGCCCCAAAACTTCTTGACTATGACAAATGGAAGATCCTGATAGTAAGATATGTTCGACAGTAACACAAGTTTAATCCTATGCTAGAATACAAAAAAACCGTTCCAAGATCAAATCCAAAATAAGTGGCTGCCTACCTAGCACATAATAATGTATTTTTTTCTTAAATTAATGTTTGATAACCTTGTTCATCAGTTAGTCAGTCCGCCTCGAGTCGTGCGATAAGCGCCAACACAGTATTACGTGCCTACGTGTTTATATACATATGTATAACAAAACATGTGTATAATAACAACAAACAAAACAAATTGACGATAGACGTACATCGCATGTGCTTATATCATGAATCAAAGGTTAATCGTTCATTATAAACGTTCCTTGCGATGAGTTTTAATTTTCCTTTTATCATTATATTCACACGATTGTAAAAAGCAGTCGCAAGACAACATTCGAGTTCATAAACGCACAAGGCGAATCCTAGTTCATTAATTTGTACTTAACAAACGTCAGCCTAGCTATAATTTGCAACCCTGTTTACATTTGTGAAATATACGTAGAGTACTTTGAATTGTATTTTTTTTTGGTGAATAACTACCGCATCAGCAATATATCCTGTGTCGCAGGGGTCTTTGCAATCATGCATGAAACGGACACAACGAACCCACAGACTCCAGAGCAATCATGTAGGCATCGAATCCACAAAACTGAGCGCTGTAGGAAGCGGCGAATCGACCGCTTAAACCACTACGCCATTCGTGCCGTCGAATACATTTTACAAAATATTATTATACTTATAATTCATCTAGGTAACCTCACAATAATATTATTCATGAAGGTCAGCGCAAAATAAGGAACACGTCAATTAAAAAATATACATATTCTACGAAATATTATAGACAACAAATGGCTGTGTATTTAGTTGGTATCAAAATATCGCAAATTCCTTTAGCGGATACTGTTACTATACTGTTGGTATACGGATAATGGCAGTTAATACTTTTATTGCATATAGGTATGTATGTTGTATAAAGATTTAGATTGTTTTGTAATTATACGTTAAAATATGGAAAACCTATTTCAATATAAGGTGGGTGGCTTAAAGGCATGATTACTAGACTTGCAACGAATATTCGGTTACTATTCGGTATTCGGCATATTCGGCTGCTTTTATTATATTCGGCCGAATACCGAATATCTACATATTATTCGGCCGAATACCGAATACTTAAATAATATATTTTGTCATTGAGAAATAATTGGTAAAATGAAAAATTAAAATCGATTGATTACGTATATATTCATATTTTCATTTCTGTTATAATCATTTAAGTAGTCATTGGTGCTTAACACAGGTACATAATCATCTTCTGAATTGGAAAAATGGAGGATTCTATGTATTTGAATTATTGTGGTAATCAAAATTTAGAAGGGTAAGGTTCTCATTTCTTTTATAATCATTTATTAAGTAGTCATTGGTACATAAAACAGGTACATAATTTAATTCACGTCTGTACAAGTTTTTGGCGCTAAAATCCAGCCGAATACTTTTGCCTAATATTCGGCTATTCGGTCAGGGGCCTCGCCGAATATTCGGTATTCGGTATACTGCCGAATATACTATTCGTTGCAAGTCTAATGATTACCCATCCGAATGAAGACGAGTGCGCTGAACATGGAGAGCACGACGGGGCAGAAGACCCCGGCGAAGGTGCCCACCTTCTTGACGCCCGCCCGCTCGGAGCGGAACTCGCCGAACTCCACATATCCTGTAATACACATAAACAAATCCACGTCACGAACGGAGAACAGTCACAAACCTGAATAATGGGACAAGTTGCACGTACTTTTGCCTCAACTATGTAACGTGTATGTGTCCTAACTTATTTTGTCAAAGCGAAAGTAAGCATCGTCGAGTACATACTTTCGCATCAGAATCACGTTTAGTTTACACGTTTTCAGGAAATCTGTATTTTCTCCTCTTCTTTTCCTCACAACTTGTGTTCCTGACAAATATATTTCAGCACGAAAAAGGTATATTTCATAGAAGAGTAACGGAAAAGTAACCTTAACGTGACTTATGTCTTTTTTACGTGAAATAACTGCCTAGCTATAAAAAAATAAAAACAGTTTGGAATAAATTATCAACATTTTTTTTACTTTATTAGCCGTTCTAGCTTAAATGCTCTCTTTGTACAACTATGTCGTTCAATATGTAGCACACGACTTTTTTCACAAAAGCAAACTGAACGCCGAATTCTTTTCAAATTTGAACCAAATATTAAAAGGAATTCTAATTTAAACCAAATATTAAAAGGAATTCTGGATGTAAAGTTCAGATTATATCTTTAGTAATAACACGGCCCAAGGTCCATGTTACCAAATACCAAATTAAAAAGAGTTAAATCACTTTATAAACACACAACACACAGAGAAGATGCCGGCTTAAAGAACATAACTATATAACTAGTGGAAGAACACACATTATATAAATAATAAAGCAAAACTATTACGCTTTCACCTCTTTGAGATTTTTCGCCCATTCCACGTACGACGTGTACAAGAGGCGCAATGTCACTGACAGGTGTCTAACAGTGGACCAGTGACCGCATGGACGGCTGCACAATCAGTGCAGGGTCCGTGACCGACGACCTTGGCTCACAAACAATTCTCTTAACTTGTACCGCAAATCGAACGGAATTTCGCTATTAACGTTTTTAACGGCTTTAACAATATAGCTGACAATTGTTTTGTCAACAGGATGACATTTCTGTCTACATTCGGTCGAACCGTGTTATTACTGCTTCGGCAACTAACAACCAATAACTTGACGTACTACGAGTACGAGTCGTTAGGTCAGTTTATAGTCCGTCATGAATGCATATAGATGGATGAAAACCAAAGCAACGTTTGTGTAAATCTTCATCATATTACATTGTTTGGATACTTCCATTCCATGGAACTAGACTTGCACTACCACACAATTTATTTTTTTTGTCTAAAAAAGACAACTCCCGCACTAGGAATATGTCCTGTGTCACGGGGGACTTTACAAACATACATTAAACGGACACAAAGAAACAACAATTTGTGAATCACACAAAGTGTTTCAGTAGAAAGCGGCAAGGGGACAAACCAAACGCCATTTAACCAACGCCAACTCAAACCACTACGCCATTCCTGCAGTCAATTTATAATTACTACATTAGCTGTTATAGTATGACTTTTTATTTATTAATTGTATGTCTTCTACAATATTTACTCAATTGGTGCTTTAATGACTCACATACATCTTACACAACTTAGCAAGCAGTCTGGGCGATCAAGATGTTTGGTAATCATGAGCTGTGTACAAGTGAAGCTGCAGACATAATCTAGCTATCTATACATATAAATTTATTATTAAATTATTGCGTTTTCACTCATACCATCTCCGGCTGGTCTGCTTACAGGTGCCCTTCCAAACCTCATCCTGAGTTTGGTCATAACACCTGTTCTGCCAAAGCTGTTAGTGCTTGGAGATAGGGGATCGAGAGTCTCCGTCATGGTTGGTTTTGTCACTGCAATAAACATACAATTATTCATAATTTTTGCATGATATGAATAATTTTGTTGTCTGCACTTATATGTACAATAGAGAGAGAGAGAGACAATTTCTGTTAGATATAGTTCATTAAAATGATGCAAATATTAAGCTTTATATCTTAACTACTTTTCCCTAAAAATGGTTTTTGCCTACAAGTGATTATCTATTTCGTTTAACAATGTGTACACATGCATGTAATTGATAACAGTTGTCTGGAACAATTCTCTAATCTCAACCATCACATTTTTATGTCCTCAGAGCTTGTGAGCGAGAGTGTTAGTATCAGAGCATTATTAATCTAACTGAGGAAATTCATGACTAAGAACATACATAATGTAATACTGTGTAAATATCTCTACAGTGGTAATCATCATTACCACTTCTACTGTAGTATACAGTTATTTCACGTAACTGTAGAGATATTTATCAGATGCACACATTGGCACAGATTTAAATTACATCTCTATGTCTAAGGTAATCAATGACATATCATGTCTAGTAGAATTTGAACCAGTCTAAGTTTAAAATATTTATTAATCATTAAAATATATTATATGAATGGTCAAATATGTGACAGCCATAATTATATTGTACAACCTATGTACTTACTTGATTCTATTAAATAACTTAATAAAAAAATGTAATTGATTTTTTTATTAACTTTTTTCTACTTATTCCTAAGTATGCCCTGTATGCTCTCTGCTTTCTACTATTCACTCTATTGGAACTCAGATTTGAGTTAAGCTCGCCTTTGAACATAACATTTCCTTATCACTTAGAACTAGCTACAGTTTATAGTAATAAATGTCAAAAGTATAATGAACACTTTTTACACACAGGGAGTTCAGTGTATGACTCATTTCTATTAAACTCTACAAATAAATAAAATGTCTGTATGTAATGTCAAAATAATAGGCTCACACAGTTATTTGCATGATACCAAAGCCTTTACGCTTTAAACAGTTTTTTTTTTTGTCTGTCTGTTTGTTTGTTCGGGTAATCTTCCAAATGGCTGGACCGATTTTGATAATATTTTACTACCAAGTAGCTGTCTATATAAGGAGTAACTTAGGTTATTTTTCCTCTCAGAAAATTCATTCAAATTTTTGCCCAATCCGGGAATTGAACCCACTAAGGCAGAGCTTTTCAAATTCCATGAGAACTAAGTCACCGGTACCGGCTGGTATTAAATAAAATGCATTTAATTCTTGTTGTCTATTTTATGTTGTTAAGAACCAATGAACACTTGACAAACAAATGTGATTGTAGTTAATACAGTTAGCAGTTGTTTTCTTAAATACCAACGAGGAGGTATTTGATTATATCAAGGTATATTTGAAATTTAAAATATTTTATAAACTTTTAAACTAACTTTAAAAGAGTGAAGTTCCGTATGAATAAGTACTTACTCATAGAAATATCTCCCGTTGTGTCACATGTGACTCATATTTGTGTTAACTAATTTACTAAGCTCAAATTAGACTTCTAATACATGTCCCAAAATGGCCAGTCAAACAATTCATTACACTGATACAAAATTGCAAGATGTAATTAGTCAACCAGATTACTTGGTATCTAAAATGACCTAATTTTAATACAGTGACATCATCAAAATTGAATACAATATTTTATTAATAGGTTTCCCATAAGAACAAAGAAACCTAGTTCTTTTATACAAAACTTGTAGTGATATGGTGAGTCGTCAGGGGCGGGAGTATCGATATAGGTTACAATAATATTCTGATTCACAATACTCCCTATTGTTCACGTTTTACAAACAAAATAAAGGTTGTACATACCGCTCGCTAAAACCAAGCGTGAGTTAGATGGCGTTTAAAAATATTGTAGTGCAGTTCTGGTCAATATTAAGTAGTGGTCATAACATCATTGTGTGCTTTTTGTGTTTGTGCAGAGATTATTGAAAATTAGGCGAAATAATTTAACTTCCCACAACAACAGCCAACAACAACACACTCACATACAGTTTGTCACATTCAGTTGTCAGCTGTCATAGCTTTCAACTTAACGACACACCTGTAAAACAGTTATTTCTTCGTTCAGAAATCTTTGGGTAAAAGCATTTGTGAAAAACTAATAAAGTGAGTCAACCTTCCTTCCAGTCCTTTGATATACCTCCAAATACCTGCAAGACTGTCTTCACTAAAACTGTGCAAATCACGAAAACGATTACGATCGTAGGTATCTAGGTAAAAATATTATTTGGCTAATTTAACTATAATTTACTTTATACCAGTATCGTGGGTTCCTATTCTGTTTAAAATATTGGATCAAGGTTGAGTTAATGATATAAAACAGGTTAAAATTATACATTCGAGAATACTTTATGTCGTTTATATTGGGAAAATATTTCGGTAAAATTGAATTCTTACAACCATGTGATTGCTGCAGTGTTTCAGCACGGTATTAATGTAATTATATGTATTTCCTATGTTTTTGTGTAATATAATGTATGTACTTAATTAATATATAATTAAAACAGTAATATAATTATTTTTGAAATTATATGTAAATGTTTATTAAAACACTAAACACATTAAGAGTTTTATTATGCGCTCTTTCACTTATATTATACTATTAGTAAAGCAAACAGATAAAAGTACAAATGTGAGTTAATCAAATAACAAAACGTGTACAACCGACTTCGAGGGCAGAAGGGGGACTCCGCTCTCCTTATATCTTGTCCCAGCGTTGCTCTTTTAAATAGTTGAGTTGACTCACTGTTAGGATTTATTACACTACGGTAATAGTTAGAATTAGCTTTCCACTGCATAAAGCTTTGTTGTAGCATGACAGACCAGATCAAATAAAAAGGAAACTGAAAAGCAGAAAACAAATTTAATTTTAGAGCCTGGCGTCAAATTAAACAGTTAAGGGCATAATCAAACCGTTCTTTCTAAGTAGTTAGTTTAAAAAAGCAATGGTCATGCTTTCGGTGAAACAGAATTATTTTACCCTTGGGAAGCTAACCCACGGTTAAGTTTTATTGAATCAATTTCGACCACGTCTCAATTTTTTTTTTTTTTCCCTCTCTTTAGGCGACGTCCGGCACACGCGGACGCCCCCCCCTCGCGGCTGGCCAAACTAATGCGGGTGGAGGGGAAACCCACCCCGTCCACCCGCGGCCACACTCAGGGCGGCATGAGGCGGTGATAAGCGCGCCTCCGCCGCCCGGTTCGCCGGCGGCGGATCGGGTCCGAGTGGAGGTCGTCCGCCCGGGCCTTCTCCGCCACCTCCTTCTGCGAGATTACTTCCTCGCAGAAGGTTGCGACCGCGGTAAAGCAACTGTCGCTACCGGCCATGGAGCGTACTACGGCCGGTAGCGAGAGATCCACTCCGATGACTGCAGTGAGGGTCCGGCGCTGCGTCGCCCATGCGGGGCAGACCGCCAGCGTGTGCTGGGCCGAGTCCTCACTGCAGTCGCAGTGGTGGCAGGCGGGACTCAGTTCCCTCCTAGCGACCGAGTGCAGGTACTTTCCGAAGCAACCGTGTCCGGAAAGCACCTGCGTCAGCCGGAAGGTAAGGGTCCCGTGCTGCCGCCCTGCCCACTCGGCGATGACCGGCTGGAGAGCCTCCACGGCGGCGAAGCCAGCGCGTGGAGTCTTCAGCCACAACGACCAACGAGCCATCGTGGCTCGGCGAGCGGCTTCGCGCCACTCGCGCACGTCTTCGGGCGAACGGCGAAATCCGCTCTCCGCCCGGGAGTCAGCCACTCGCCGATAAATTTCGGCGAGCACTTCCGCCTCCAAATCCCACGGGGGAGTTCCGGCCAACGCGCACGCCACCTCCGTCGAAACGGTGCGGTAACCGCGTATGGCTCTGACCGCCATTACCCTCTGAGGGCGTCAGAGGCGTGCCCTATTCTGGGCGGTCAGAGCCGCCGCCCACACCGGTGCACCGTATAGTGCCATTGACCGGACAACCCCCGTGTACAGCCGTCTTGTCGCGACGCTGGGTCCACCCAAATTGGGCAAAAGTCGCCCTAGGGCAGACGCAGCGCCGACCAGCTTTGGAGCAAGCTGTCGGAAGTGCTCGTCGAAGAGCCACCTCCCGTCGAGGATCAGGCCCAGATATTTCATCTGGGCCCGAACCGGTACGAGGAACGAGTTAACCACGATTGAGGCGCCAGGGGGTGGACCACGACGGGGCCCATGAAATAACAGAGCCTCCGTCTTATCTAGGGCCACCCGTAAGCCCAGCGCCTCAATGCGCCCGACCTCCAGGGAGACTCCCCTTGTGGCCAGGCGCGCCGCCTTTGACACAAGCCCTATACCAACCCGCATGGCCAGCGTGGTAGTAGTAGTAGGCCAAAATCTCCTTTCTAAGGAGGCCTTTTTTTCGCCTGCGTCAATCGGGTTGTTCCGTGATGCCTCTCGAGGACCTAGCGGAGTTCAGGAGACGCGCCGCCTCAAAGATGATCGTGCGGTACCCCTCTAAGGAGAGGCCTATGTCTGCATGCATGCATGCAAGGGACTATTTAAGGCTCTTAATGAATTTCGTCCATCATCGTAGCCTGGTAGAATATTATCGATACATATTCGCAGAAAGTCGTTCCTTTAGCTAGTTTTGCTATTTATCAATGGATATTGTTTAGCGTTGCAGTTCGTAAAAGCACTGTTAATTTAAGGCACAATTTTTATTTGCAAAGACAAAGGCTTTTTAATAAGTTTTTGGAGATATTTCAATTTGACATAGACAGTTTTTGGGGGGTCCCCTGTGATCTATTGGTATTATAATCTTGGTAGAGACACGAATTGATGAACAATTTATGATGTAGCATTTGACGCCTGACGACAGAAACTTAGCATAGCAAGAATCACTTAAAAAAATAATGCTAACTAAATATCAGGCGTCTGAACTGTTATTATTTTACTCATTATTATTACACACTAAGGACTTCGAGTACTGAATCTTGTTGTGGAGCTGCAGGTCATCGCTGTAAAAAATCAGTAGTCAAAAGTTCAAAGAAGCGTGTTGATTTGCAATATCAAGTTGTTAAAACAACATTATAGATTAAAAAATATAGAAAAGGTAAAAAGAAACTCCTTTTAAAGTATGATACAGTAACCACAATAGATTTGTATTCCAAAGAAAGCTATCCGACTTATAAACCTCCAATGCCCTTGCCCCAATGTCTTCTTTCTGCTGGTAAATAGGTTAACTTAAGTTGCCAGGAAGGTGAGATAGAGTAATTAAAACTCATTTTTAAGGGACTAATCCCTCCCACGCTCAAACCACTGTAACTCCTGTACACCAGGATCAACAGCAATGACCCACGAACACACTCGTGAGAACACATTCGAGAAGTTCCAAAGAAAAATTAAACTGTCTTTTAACCCGCTACGAAGTTCATCAGAAAAAAATTGGAGGAGTTGGAAATATAATAAATCCACTTCCCTCCTTGGGCAAAGCGGGAGATAAAATGAAGTAAAAAGTTTCTGTGCCCCCTTAAACAGGAAAGCACCACGACCACAAAATATTATTGGTCCTAAGCTATATTTGATTTCTATAATATGTATGGCAGAATCGCCTAAACGCACGGCAATTCACCCTAGTTGACACAAGATTCCCATAGTATACCGCCCCAGAACACACATGACAATAAATAAAACTGGACACCACTCGTTTGATGGGGGGTTTATTTGCGCGTGTGTGAGTTGTCATTATGGGTTAGTGTCTATAAACTGTTTTCTTAAATGGTCGAATATTAAAGTTCAGAGACCTGAAATAAACTTAAGAGTCATTATCTGCTTGTTTAGTTAAATAATAAAGTATACAGTTAAATAATAAATCGATTTACGATTTATGATGATATCGTATAAGCCCGTATATTATTATATCTTAGGTTTAACTAGTACATTTATATAAGCACTGTAGACAAATGATGATCGGTAAAAACAAATTAACATCTATAAAATCAATTGAACACACAAATAAAGGCCAATAAATAACACAAGGTCTATTTTCAGGAAGATATGAGTGTCAGCAATAGGCATATTAATTGGTAAAATAGGTCGAAAATACACCTTGCACCTAATTTTATAGTAGTCCTCACATTACACATACACATCACATAAGTACATTTAACAAATAAAAACAGTTGCAAGCGATGTTACTGCTGTAGTGACATTTCTCTTAAAACGTATTTTTTGGCATCTATTTATTAAAAAAATTGATAGTTGATACTAATAATCAGTGTCATTTATAGACCACAAAACACGTTTTTAGATAAATACTTTTAAGGGCAATAATTGCTTGCAGCTGTTTTTGCTTTCTGTTGTGTTTAGTTTAGTAGTTTTCTTTAATAAGTCAATATTAAAACAACTACTACCGTAAAGTGAATATGTTCTGAAGCGAACATACGGGTACAAAACTTATATTAATAGAAATGAAATAAATAATTAATAATTCAAGCAAACAATAAATAAAATGTATTTTTATGCTCAGTACGTTGGTTTGAAAGTACTTGTCTGTCGCGTGTTGTAAATAATAAAAGCTGTCTGGATTGAAAATCCCATGTTATTAATAAATTCGATTATTCCTACATTCTAACGATTATTCGCATACAAGGGAATTTGAAGATTACTCTAAAGGCAGTAGCGGTATACAACATTATGGTAAAGGACCTAACTACGTGACTTCGAAACCAAGTCCAAATTTTTTTTATATCTATTGTAAATATTGCTTTTTTGCTTTGTTTAAAAGATATTTAAATTTAGCCAATATGAATTGTAGAACTTGTGATAAAATAGAAATAGCTTCATAATTCAATGGTTTATTTTGATAACTTTATTTTAATTGTGTGAATGACGCCAATGCAACCTTACCTCGTACATTAGACGGACTATAACTCCTTAGAAAGTATAAATATTCAAGTTTACAAAGAACTGTATCTTTCCAAAACAAAATAACAACAATTGTAGGCTGAACTGATTTGTATTATTTACTTACAATTGTTTGTCATAAAGTGATCAGTCCAAGCAACACACGTCGCACAGTCATATTTAGCGTTTTTCTGAAATAGGTACAATAGCATGTTAAGAGATATAAGAACTCTGAACCAAATTGGTTTTGCAAGCAAGCAGCCGTGACCGGAAATAACCTGGGTCAGTTGGAATGAAAGAGTCCTGTGCTGCCGCCCTGCTCACTCGATGATGACCGGCGGGAGCTCCTTCGTGGCCACAAAACCAGCTCCTGGAGCCTCCAGCCGAGATGATCAACGAGTCCTCCATATATGAGCCAGCTGGACCTGGTCCGGAAACGCTAGCACATAGCGTCTGTGTGAGGGTTAACACATAGATCACAATTACAACATGACTTGTTGTGGGACCGGTTTGTTTCTGTTGAACATCGCGAATATTCCACGGAGCGCATCATAATACTGACAATAATGACACTTTTTGCCCCGCACAACTAATCTGTGGAACGGGTTATCGTCTGCGGTATTTTCGGACCGATACGACCTTCAAACCTTCAAGAAAAGAGCGTACTCCTTCCTAAAAGGCCGGCAACGCGTTTGTGACTCCTGAGTTGCAGACGTTCATGGGCGGCGATAGTCATTTTCCATCAGGTGACCCGTCTGCTCGTCTGCACCCTCTAACATAAAAAAAAATAATAATAATAATAATATAAAGTTAGTTTACCTACTTGTATCTATTAGTACACACACATATAGAGCAGAACCATTCAAGCTGAACTACGGTCAGGGTATAGACTGCTACGTCACGGCACAAAGTAACTTGTATGCGGCAGTTATAAAATATAATATTAATATAATATTTGTAAATACACATGGTATAGAAACTCATTATCTTGCGGCTTCTGACCTTGGCACATTGTTGTCACACGGTACTATTATAATACAGTACTCCAACTTCATACAAACGGACGAAACGCAAGCTATACCTACGCGCCTCGATCTCGGGGTGCGCTCAGGGCGCAGACAGTCACGGCTGTACCGTAGTGTCGAACGGACTGTGTGTTGTTTTTTTAACAATAACCGCGCGATTTTTTCTCTAAAAATCAGTTAATATGTCGAGTAGGAAATATTGTGTTGTTTTTGTTTGTATGAATTCGTCAATAACGCATCCAGACATAAGTTTTTTTAAATTACCTGGAATCTCTGAAAGGTAAGACTATAAAATAATTTTACTTACTAGTACGTAGGTAGGTACATAATGTGTGTCTTTTTAATGGATAAGTATTTCCTTTTATCTCACGAAAAAAAAGGTGTTTGCATGAATAAATAAAGCAAATAGAGTAACGGAGAGTTATTGAGACGAGTGAAATAGGGAGTTATATGCGGTTCTGAATGAATCATGATACGGTAGGTACCTACCTACTTACGCTTGTGTTAAAACTTCGGTGCATGTGTGTTTTGTTACTTTGCATAATTCAAAGTAAAGATGTGGTATTTTATTATTAATAATATTTGTTTATTATCTGTGTGTATGAATAATACTAAAAAAATTTTTTACCGTCTGTGTGTCATTAGACAGTTTTCGAAATTTTCACAAAGTGTTTCTGCTGCTACTATAACATATACCACTAAAAACTGGTTTTATTTTCTCGGTATTAACAACAGCTAGAGCTAGGTTGTGATTTTAAAACATTCGTAGTCAGCTGTTCAGCTTTTTAATAATTAATTAATTGGTGACCAAAGAATTTTTGTTTTGAGTTGTTGCGAGTTGTAGGTAGGTACCTAATTTAGGTAGGTGTTGGAGTTTCTAAGGATTGTAGTTTTGTAACGCGTAAGGAGAAAGCACATTTATTTTATTTTATAGAAGGATTTTTTTCGGTCGCAAATTTATAAGCCCGATTTGTTTTTCAAACAAAAACATGTTTTTTTAATTAAATCTACCAATCAAAAAACAACACGCATTTTTATTGAACACTTCCTATTCAATATACAAAGTATTTCATTTATTAATATAAAAAGGATATTTACAATCACAAATCTAAATAGAAACAGAAAGACGGCAAATATAATTAAAATGCTGGAGACGGGCAGCCCTAACGCATGTTTACGTACCGCGCGGCTGTAGGCATTTATGTCTATCATGCGGCCGAGTCACAGTACTGTATTATAATTGTACCGTGGTTGTCATGTCACGAGACACTCACTTGTATTTATAACTAACTTTACCTTGCCACGCTTCTTGTGGCGCATTGGAATTGCATTGACGAGTGATGAGGAACAAACCTGACGCGCGTAACAGATAAAAACAATATTTGAAGCTGTTTATATGTATCGTGTCAAAATTTGAGCACAATCGGCGCAGAACTTTTTGGTTTTTTGGAATGTACTCAAACCAACTTAACATTTTTATACGTGTAAATACTAGCGGACCCGACAGACGTCCTGTACACACGTTTAATAAAATCATTTTGTAGTGAACCGAAATGTAAATGTTTCGAATCTCGAATCTTTATTAAATATAACATCCTCACACTACCATCATTATACATATTTGACATCTGTATATTTGTATCCAAGAACATGAGTCACTTCGCGAGAGTAAAAGACAATCACAATTTAAACACACGCCACAGAGACAGACTATACCTACCACCATCAAGAATTAAAATGCTAAACCAGAGCCCTTACTACATGGCTGTAAAAATATACAACAAATTACCTATCCACATAAAAAATGAAACTAAGACTACACTATTCATTAAAAAACTAAAAGCATTCTTAATTACAAAATGTTTCTATTCTGTTAAAGAATACATTGAGGAAAAAAACACTTAACAAACTACATTTCTTATTACACGGAAAACAGAATGCATATCCTCAAGTACAAATCATAAAAAGAAAAATCGGTCGTGATGGATGGTAATGCTAGGGACAGTAGGAAAATGTGTAATGTATTGGTGATGTAGAATGTCGGGTGCCTTCGTATTTTTGCATGGTTTGTTCGATTGTTATACTGCACTATTGAGTCACTTAATTTGTATTGTTCAAAAAATGCTTGTACTTGTGTAACAATTTATTCTTCTGCGTTCTCTCTCAAATTTTAAAATGCCTGGAAAAGGCTTCTAAGTTGGGACTACTACATATAATATTATAAGATCATTGATGTACACTTGGTTGGCAAATAAAGATTTGATTTGATTTGATCTACTTAAACATAAACAAAAAAAATCGGTTGTCTGTAAAGTCGGTTTACTGACGATAGTTGAACGTGACAACGTCATAAGAAAATACTGATGGAATGGTTGTATTTTACGAAAACATGTAAATGTATTATTGTATAGCAGCTGTTCACGTGGACGCATCGCTCACTCAAGTAGGAGAGAGACAGATGTCAAACGCTGCCGAATGCCTAGGCCGATTGTGCCTCTTTGTCGCTCGTTCCGCGCTCTCGCCTTACAAGCCTTACAAGTGCACTTCAAGCCTTAAATGGAACGCCTCAGAGCGAGGTAACGCCGCATGAGTCATGTTTTTTCGAGCGTGCAGCCGGCTCCATCGAATTATAAGACGTCAGGATTTCAGTCACATACACACGTACAGAAGAATTACATATTTAAGACATTTCACATCTCACACACGGTCGTCTGATCCCAAACTACGCAGAGCCTGTACTACGGTAACCAGATTTACCTGATAAACATTTTTTTTAAATACATGTGTATTATTGATACACACAGACACAGAACAAATCATCATACTAATAAAAAAAGTTGTCGGTTAATTACTTTATTGCACTGTATTTACAAACACTCACTATACTAAAGTAGAAATCACTAAATATCTCGATAATCGCACTAGTAATTTTTCGATGTTAATTCGCTGTGTCTTAACACTATACTGTCCCAAACGGCCAACACGCTCCACTTTTATTGCGTTTTTGAATTTTACTCGAAAGAACCCTAGTATTCTACAGTCCCTTCTAGACAAACAAGAATATTCCAGAATAAGTCACGAGTTACTTGCAGCGCCATCTAGCGCTGTAAGGATCAGAACTACTCGTATTAACCACAATCTTAATAGATGTACTTGGTCGATACTAGATGGCGCTGTCCTCCACATTCCATGCAATCGAACCATTTAATCCTATGGTGCAACATCATTATTTGTCCTGGGTGTGAATCGAACTCACGAGCTTAGCAGTCACAGTCACTGTTTATTTGTCTGTTACGCTTTCTATTATGGCTATTTTACTCGCCAGAATAATTACGAAGATGGTGACGGTGGAATCAAATTTTGTTTGGGACGTTTTTAAATTTGAAATTCGCCGCTGTCGCAGCGTAAGGCTGTTTCCGTAGAGAATAACACTGCTGTTGTCTATATTATTACTTATAGTGAGTTCACAAACTGTGTTAAGAACACGCGTACAATGAACAGGCACGGTGGGACCCCGTCATACAGAACACCAATACGTTCGCTGCTTTTGTTGCACACAATACTTGTATAAGAAAAATACCTATGTCCAATACGTCTACTGACTGAAGAAACGACTAGATGACATGAGCAGGAGTGAGTGCGCTGCACGTGCGTGCGGTCCGACACTCCGGCAGTTCCGGCACAAGGTGATGTCCTCTGCGGCGAGTGGACGCGTCACGATGGCCACTAACAGCGTTATAATATTTGTGTGCGCTCTCAGTCAGCTGTGGTGCGCCTCTTGCGACCTCAACCTCGAAGCAGGTACTATTTTATTTAAAAGCTCGTTTATTACATTTTTAAGCTCGTATTTATGCCAATCATGTCTCCTCAGCACAACACTAAAGAATCTAGCTGATGTAGCCCTATATACAAAAATTGAAGTGTTTGTTGATTAGCGTATCACTTAATTGTTTCGTGTCGATTTGTCGAATTTTTAACCGACTTTAAAAACAGGCAAAATTCTATGTTCACCTGTATGTATTTTTTACGTCATCAATTAATCTATATTAAAAACCACTTTTTTGTGTTTTCGGATTTTATGTTTACGTCATAATACCAAGGCCGAATCTGATCAAGTTACCTAAGGAAATATAAGGGCCACTCTCCAAAATTAAGAGTTCATAAACAATTTTAAGACGGAAATATATAAAATGTCTATCCTAAAAATGTTATTACAATGTTAATAATTATTTAAATGACAGTCTAACTATAGATACTGTTCTGCTCATTGTATTGCCTGCATTAACTGCTTTAAAAGCTTTTCGTTTTTTAATTTAAGATTTGTTCGCCACTTCTGGCAGAATATGCTGTGTTGTTTTAAGTACTTAGTACCAGATTCATGCAAATAAATGTATTGATTTGATTTGATTTAAATTAAGCAACTTTGACGTTTGAAGTGGTTAATATTTTTGTTATTAAACGATTTCACAAAATGGAGGACGAGGTATTTGGCCATTGTGTTGACTCCGGGAGGTAAAGGATACTAGCGAGTAGTCTGACAGTTCTTTAGAGTAGCGATATGTTCTTTGAACCCTTTCTGCAACAATCTGCTTCGTTTGACAACAACTTTTTTTAGTAATGATATTGAGAAAACAATTTTAATTAGGTAGATACAGAACAGTAGTGTGTAGACTGCACACATATCCTGCCGCTGCTACACCCCATGGGAGAGGGTACAACACAGGCTAACATATACAGTCATGCCTTTTTGCAATCATGTTTAGGATACTTTTGAAACACACCCTGTGCACCATCAACCTCTTACTCATAGCTGCGTAAAAGCAAAGTACTTTCGTATCCAAGAACAGCTGATAGTACTACAGAAGTGGTTCACCCTCGCCACTCTAAATGCATCGTTGTATGGCAAAAAAAGAACGTTGAAGATTGCGAGTAATCCTATCCCACCAATCAAATTGTACAGTAGACTCGAAAGAGATTAACACTGATCACTGCAGTGTGCAACCCTGAGGGTCAGCACATTTGCTCTGATGGGCAGACAACACTCTTCGGCGTCGTTCGATGTCGACATCATCAGTAAGGTCGGGGGTTGATACTTGAAGAAAATAAGTGTTTTATTTTTCAAAACCAAGAACAAAATTAGTCATAGTCATTTATTCATCAACAAATTACATTGTTTTTGAAATATAATAATTAACAAAATAGTTAATAGTATTTAAACAAACAAACTACTTGTGTCGTCATTAGTTATCATTCATGCAATATCATTACATTTTGAAACAATCATTTTAATATAACAGTAATAATTAAAAGTGTCTAAATAATATAATGTTATTAGTTATCTTACATATACGTATTTTGGATAATTTAATTCAGATAAATTCACTCTCTTGTTACAATTCATCAATAGTATAAAGGCATCTGTCCAAAATGAATGCTTTTAATTTTATTTTAAAGGAACTGATATTACTTGATACCACTAGAGAATAGAGGCTAGGAACTGTAAGAATTCCTAGGCTTGCGAAGTATGGTCGACATCTCTCTTTGTGGCACGCGAACCATAGTGCGGTAGCTCGTTTTTGTAATATGAAAGCTATTTGACCCCAACATTGGATGCTGTATCTTAATTTTGATTCCACAAGCGCATAGTACACCATTTTTAGTCTTTATTTATCTAGTTCGTCTCTAAGGGATCTCATAGCGTAACATGCAGATGATATAGAGGCAGTCACTGCATTCAATTCAGCTTTCCAATTTAGCATCTTCATCTATCTTTATACCTTAAAATTTTACTTCTTTAACCAGATCAATTTTATTTAAAATATATATTTAAAATAAATATATTTAAAATAAATTAAATGGTATTTAATTTATTTTAAATATTTTCGGTATTTCCTGACGTTGTCCTAAATAATATAATTTGTGACTCTGTGGTATTTATTAAAATCTTATTTACGGTAAACCGTTGCGAGAAGCCTTCTAACAGTTTGTTTACTTTATTGCACAAAACTTCCATGTTATTTCCCTCTATAATCGCGTTGGTGTCATCAGCCAATACCATTAATTTGAAGTCAGGAATAATTGTATTAATAAAATTAAAAATGTCATTTGTAAAATCATAAACAAGATCGGACTCAGGATAGGTCCCTGTGGTACCATAGTCTTAACATATAGCATTGCTGATTTATGTACGGATATATGTCCCTTTTTGCCTCTACTATTAGATTCCACGTACATTTTCCTGTTTGTAATATAGGGTGTGAACAGCTGTAATGGTTTCCCCCTTACACTCAATTCAAATCTTGTTACTAGGTGCATTAATTGGCCTCAATGAAATTTTAGTATAATTTAATATTTTATTTCAATATGTAATGCCTGTGCAGAGGAACACCAAGACGAGTGGTCTAACGATGCTACTGATGGGACGCCACAACCAAGTGTACGCTTTAGAAGGTGGAAACACGTCTTGAAAGTACCTGCTTGTGTATATAGGAGTGTGTACTTATCGATATGTTGCAGGGTCACCGTGCGTCACCCAGGGCCTGAACGGTACGTGCACAGATATATTTGGATGTAGCTCAGCAGCTCTCACCTACTTATACGTAAGTTTTACTGCGTTATTTTATCTAATTACATTCCCATAAAGAATGTATTGTAAAGCCCTCCATACCGGCACTTATCAACATAATATACTGAATGCATGTCGCGGGTTTCATGTCCATTGTACATTTCTAACATAGCTATTGTTTTTACTCGTAAGTTCAATATCAAGTTGACAATATTTTCTTAAAAATGTGTAAAACTATTTTACCTTTACTTACTATTAATAAAGTGATACTTATTAAAATATTATTTGTTAAATATTAAAATCAAGAACAAATGAATGCTAATTACAACACTCATCGAGTATGAACACTTAGGGACCTTGACTCAGTCAAGGTTGTTGCGAACTTAGTTTCTACACAAGTGTGCAACTGAACGAACAAAAAAACACCGATATTACCATCTTGCTAATGTTGCAAACTAGCCGATGTTGTTTGCCAAAATACCCAAAAATAATTTTATCGAAAATAGTTTTGTCTTAAAAAACCAGTTTCAGGTGTGATGAGACGCCGATATTGATAAATATCTCTCATCATTTGCATTTAAATGTAAAAATAAAAACAAAACTAGTATAATTGGTCTGACATAGGTATTTTTAAATCCGAGGATGGATGGATTCTATGGCGTACCGATTCAGTCCAAATGTATACTCTGTAACAATGCATACTCAGAAATAATCTGGTCGCCAGTGAACTTGGCTGTCAGTGACTGTTGGGTGCAAATATCCGATATTTATTGCAATGAAAGTATTACTTACTGACTGTACCTGTAACAATAACGCGGCCTTTGTTTTGTGGGGATAAATAAGTAGCTTTACCGTCCCTCTGCCTTTACGGACCGAAAAAAGTGTACAGTTCAGCTGAGTCTTGTGAACTAATCTTCTTTAATGCCTTACCGAAAACACTAATAAAATTGCCGACAAACTAAGTATATTGTAAGGGTAAGATGTGGTAGGAAGGAAAGGCAATGGACAGGAAGTGATGTTGCTTGCACGGGTCGAATTGAGTACTGTGGGCTAAAGCTGGAACAAGATCGGGGCGCATACATGTAACAATCATAAAATTAATCGAATAAATTCGGTATATTGGCAAAATTATTCTTCAAAAGAAAACTAGATTTATTATAGGATCACTTGGTCATCTCTTTGTACTCGTATGTTTGCTTGTCTGTCTGTCGAGACGCTTTTTCTAGAGAACGTGTAGTGCTATTATATTGATATTAGCATTAAATAGTCATGTCAGGTTAGTCAAAACTAGTGGGGTACTGTCCACTCACCTAGAACCATGAACGTTCGCAATAATACAAGCAAAGAAAAATTGGAATGACGTTATTTTGTATGTTGTAATGAAGTATTTTACATAAAAATTAAGTTTGCCTTTAGGAAACCGCGGGCAATGATCTGTCTTTTTTCTAATTTCTTCCTGAATCAATTATCCGGATGAACAATGTGCCGATCAACTGTCAAATGTCAACAAACTATCTACTAACAACAAAAGTATTTTTTAAATCTTCTTCTTCTTACCCTTTTAACTTCTTCAATTCTCCTTGATTACACGACAACCTCTTTCACGCACTCCTTCATTTTATTGCAAAATGGTTTTGGCTTTTTATTTTCTGGCTCCGGCCGCTTGCCTGACGCCAGCCCTCCTTGGGAATGTAATCGTTTTCCGTACAGTGTAAGACAAATACATTCTGAAATAAGCAATCCCGTACTCATGACAACAAACACTCTTTGGAAAGACTTTAAAATTTGACATGTTACAAAATATTTTCATAAGAAACAACACAGTTTCTCACATCTATTACTCTGAAGCACTCGGCAACACGGTTTATGAAGTCACACTGCCAGGTATATATGTATATAGTTGATACAAATAATAATAAATAATTTAAACACAAAGAGTAAGTCATCACATAAACAATTTACTGTCTGATATCGACTAATTACATTAAATTGTAAGTTTCGTTGTGGAAAAGTAACTACAAAGGCGTCATGGGAACTCTCTTAAAGCTGACGCAAGTGTTTATCGGGCACGGATGCCGTAAGAAAACGCCTGCAAGTATTCACTGCGCTCGATATCCTAAAAATACTGCACAACACACGCTGTGTGGAGATTGTATGTGTCGAAGAGACGCCCGTCTCTTAAAGCTTGTCTAACATACCTACTTTACATCACTTTTATTTATTTTCTTTGTTGCCGACGATTCATCACTACCATTGACTCAAGTAAGCCAGTATTTTTTTCATTATTTGGCACAAGAATGTTTGTTACAAAATGAAACTAGAACAACGACTAAGGTGTACACAGAAGCTGGTGTTAAAGTACAAAAGAAACCATTACGAGTACTACAGAGCCTTTCGACTTTGCACTGCAAAATATTTACGTTTAATATTTAGCTCTATACACACACGTACACAATATAACATAAATATTAATGCATTGTTTCAGCGTAACGCTGGATTCGGAGACAACTACGAGTTCCCCGAGATACCTGACGTGTGCTCGCACCAGGGGGACGACCCCGTCGTATGCTGCACCGACTGCGACGCTGGCACTCGCAGGTACTTTCAACACCTAACCTCATAAGCTTTGGTTTAACAATTTTGTGGCCGCTGTGATTATTACGTGACGAATAGAACAGCGAACAATATATACAACTACTCCCTGGCACATTGCACCTGAATCAAGTCAGTACAAAGGCGCGAGGCTACAAGAGGACACTTGCAATCTTAACGATAACATTAATGAGAAGGGTTATCGTTAGGAGTGCATCTAGAGATTAAAAAAAATGCCGGTCAGGTACGAATCGAACTAACATACCCAGATTTTACGAAGATTTTTGAGAAAATTTGTAAGTACCAATATTTATCTTAATTTTCAACTTTTTTTATTTTTTGGAATTATTCCCTTAGTTGTGCTGTAAGTCGTTTCTTTTTGCCAAATTTCGTGATTCTAGGTAAACGGGAACTATCATATATGTAGGTTTTCGACCCAAAACCTATAGAGTACTTCCGGCTGACCTAGAGTTAACAATTTTGGTTAAAAGCAAGGTCTTACAGCACAAGTAAAGAGAAAATTCTGAAAAATAAAAACAGTTGAAAATTAAGGTAAATTTTGGTACCTACAAGTTTTCGCGAAAATCGAAATTTGCCTATATCTTTTTATCGTGTTGACTCAGGACCTTGATTTTTATACACCTAATAGGGACCATAGACCTCAGTATCTGGTATGAGAAAATCGATGGTGACACACGGACAGTCAGACAGACGGACAAAAAAGTGATCTTATAAGGGTTCCTTTTTTACCTTTTGAGGTACGGAAAACTCAAAATAAAAAAAAACATTACCAATACCAGATGTTAAACGATTCTGGTAGACTAGAATGCCTAACAACATCGGCAATTTTTATTATTTCAAGGAATAATGTAATTTAATAAAGTATCTATATTTTGAACGATTTAAACCAATTCGTAAAAGCATGCTCGTGCGTGGAAGCCACTTGTCGTTTACCAACCGTATCGTACATATAGGTACACCTTTGTTCACAGATTCGAAAAAACTGCTGTAGGTCCACTCGCAACGTTAGTTAACACGGAGGGTCCTGTCGCAAGGGCGAGTATGTATTTTTTATTTAATTTACAAAAAAATATTTTAATTCATCGCTTGCAATCGTCTAAGTACTCCCATTATTCCCAATAGGATGCGTGGGACGACTGTCTCAAGTCGGTTCGTATACAACACTCACTGAAGGTAAATTTACAAAACCTTATACAGGACCTTATAAACTCGTCGCTTACCATCAAGGAACAAGAAGACCCCATTGGCCATGTCGTGTACTATTCTGTCAATAAGCAGTGGGGATTTAATTCACGACTGGGGAGAATTATTCGAAACGGAGCCTACAAAACTAAATCAGTTGACTGCCTGTCTTGTTTACGCGAGTATGTTTATTCCGGCCATGGTCGTCAAGTGTTACAAGACGTTCTCGGTCCGGAACATATTAAATCTTGTCAGTGCGCCGAACATCGCTGTGGAATGGGAGGCAAAAATCAATGGAAAATTGCGCAATACGAGGCTGATTGTCCCCAAGGGGGAAATACAGTACTTCGACCAGAAGGCATGTCATCTGAACAAGGGATCAATGGAATGGTGGATACAACTCTTCAAACCGATGACGATCAAGAAGGAGGTTCCAGATATCAAATTCCAAGCAAAACGAGGAAAGTTTTGGATGGCCAACAAGACGATTCAAACGCAGACACAGCAACAGATAGCACGTACGATAACCGAAACGCAAATATTATTGTACTTTTATGCCAAAACGGTGCTTTTACAGAAGCAGAAGCTATGGGATTGTTTGCAAAATCAACTGAAGGGATTAACTTTGTTTGCTCCAAACAGTCTGCAGAACAAATCAGGACATACCTCCATGTCGCAAGAGTTTTGGTATTTTCGGAATCGGTAAAACAAAGATTTGAGCGTGCAAAAAACAAGTTTGAAACGGAACACGGGCCTTTGAATGACACATCGTAAGAAGAAATAAAATTAAAGTTTAAAGAAATTTTAAACATGAATAATATAGACTTGGAAAAATTCTTTTCAATACATTTAAACATTTCACAAGACAGAGCGAGAAGAAGAATAACTTGTTTTTCTTGGGCCCGCCTTCAACCGGTAAAACGATGATTATGAACAGTCTGGTAGAGTGTCATTTCAACTTTTGCAGATTAACCGGTTTGATTTCAAACAGCAGCGTCAACTTTAGTGGGCTGTTGCACACAAATGCATGTTTAATGGACGAATGCAAGTTGACGGACAACCAGTTTGAGCAGTGGAAGTTGCTGGCGTCTGGTTTACCAATGTCGACGGCTGTAAAGTATAAGGATGTAATAATAACTTATACAACAACAATTAGGTTGAACAAAGTTAACTTAACAATTTGTTAGGTCGAGCAGTACTTTTAAAAGTTAATTAACCGTGCTCAACCTAACAAAAAAAAAACTAACCTAACCTAACGTTTTTTTTTTATAAAACATTGATTTAATAAAAAAAAAAAATTTACAACTTCTAACCTATGATTACATGTTCTATATACTACCCATAACCTTTACAAACTTATATTACCAACAACCTAATACTTATATAACTTACAATACATAACCATATTCACCCCATACTAGCACTTTCTACTGGCATTGTCCAAAAATTTGTCATTTGTTGTCCCAGGAGATTTTTACACTCATTGAAACAACTGCACTTTAGAGCTGTTAGTACGAATCGGAAGTTAAAAGTTAAGAAAATTAGTGCCGGATGACAGCTGGGAAGGAAATTTTCATTTTTCTTCAATTACTATATTTATTTTTTAACAATATATGCTGGAGTGTTTTTATTTTAAATAGATCTCAAACAATAGTTCCGTTAATCCTAAAGTAACACTAGTGTAAAACTAAGGTAATAATACTTTATTTACATAGATTTTTTACACATGAATGTATTTAATCGCTGCCTGAACTAGGCTAAGCCTGTGTTTCAGGCGATCGCTTGACTTAAGAGTTTTAAGTAATTTTCGTTTAGATATTAATGTGAAGTATTAATAACAGATTGACAGAGAACATAAAAATACTACATACAGTTCATAAGTTCCAAGAAGTACCGTTTGACGTTTCATACTTTACTTTCATACGTAACTTACTTAATTTGAATTAGCCGTAAAACCATGGAATTATGACTAACTTTTTTGTAAACAATGCAAAATAATCAAGGTAAACAAAAGATAGGTTTATTTTAGACTTCGTTTCAAAGTCACGTAGTTAAGTCCTTTACCGTAGTGTTGTGACTCTACTCTACAAATTCACTTGTATAGGAATCGAAATTGTTAAAATGTACGAATAATCGAAGTTATTTATACCCAGCCGTTATAAATCCAGTAGTGTTTTAGTATTTAATAACACTTAAATTTCAGTTTACCATCCAACTGTAAACGAAAACGCATAATTAAAAGTAAAAATATGTAAGTGAATGTTATTTTAAATAAATCTTTGTAGGCAAAATCGTTGATTTCCAAGTCTCCCGAAAAAAAAACCCTTTTTTTTTAAATCTGGCTGGGTTAGGATGGAACTGAAATACTGATGGCCCCAAGAGTTTACGAACCCTGGACGGCCTGCTGATGTACAGGCCCATCGTGTTGCGGGACGAGGCGGTTAAATTGTTCGAGAGGGTTCTCTGCCTGCATCATCCGGCACCTCTGCGAAGTGGGCCCTGATCTGTAGGACTCCCAATTTGGTTTTCGGGCGCTGCGTTCGACAGTAGACGCTGTTTTGCGCCTGAGGGCCGTGACTGAAGAGGCCGTGATATGTGTCATTGGACATCGCCAACACATTCAATAGTCTGCCACTCAGCTGCATCAGGGAAGCACTCCACTATCATGGGCTGCCAAAGTACCTGAGGCGGCTAGTAGCAGGCTATTAAGAGGAGCATACCACTTCCACAGGGGTCTATTCTTGGACCCCTCCTGTGGAACGTAGGGTACGACTGGGCCCTTCGAGTTGATTTTCCCCCGGGCTGGGTGTAATTTGTTACGCCGGCTATCATACGCTCATTGGCCGTTAGTGACAGATGTTTTACCGCGGTCGCGTCCTTCTGCGAAGACGTCATCTCGCAGAAGGAGGCGGTGGAGAGGGCCGGGGAGGACCACCTGGACTCGGACTCAATTCGTCGTCGGCGAACCGGGCGGCGTAGGCGCGCTACCAGCGCCTCTTGCCACCCTGTGGCCGCGGGTGGAAGGGACAGGTTTTCCCCTCCACCCGCCATAATGGCTAGCCGCGAGGAGGCGACGTCCGCGTGCCGGACGTCACCTAAATTGAGAAGCGGGCAGGCGCTAGGAGGGTCCGGATACCTTAATAACAGCAGTTCCCGGATCCCGTCCGTGTGGTGACGGATTAAGAATACGGAGTGTCACCACCCCTATTCATCCCCTGGGTGTCGTAAAAGCCGACTAAGGGGACAAACTACGCAGGACAACAGCGGCAAAGAGAAGGAAAACTTGACACAAACCCTTTACCAACCTGTCTGGCCAGCATGGTATAGTAGGCCAAAACCTCCTTTCTAAGGAGAGGCCTATATCCAGCAGTGGATTATTCAAGGCTGTTGATGAACAATAAAATAATATTTAGTGACCTCCATAATTATTTCTCTCCTGCACACAAGCCCTAATACACAACATACATGAGCCTGTTAAACTGTAATTACAAAGAAATGATATCGATATCTCTTAAGAATCGGATATTGTAGTAATCGATGTTTTTACCCCCCCCCCCCCCCCTATTCTTCAATCTGTCAGAACTGTCAAAAGGTACTTCTTAGATTAGATGGATAGAGTCCAATTTTATTATACAAGAAAAGTCTGAACGGTCCAAAGAATAAAATAATAACATGTATTATAAAACGCTGCAATATTTGATAAAATCAGTTAAAATTGTTGGTAAATTGTCTGTCTTCGGCACATATACTGTCCATAAACCTCGACTTCACATTATTTAACTTTAGATACAGAAAAATTATCTAGGTCACAGCAACTGATTAGTCATTATTAATGACTAATCAATTCAATATTAATGACTTATTAATATTTTTAATTTACAGCCTCATAGTCTATACAATTTATATATTTGTCCTCAACAGATTTCTTTAACGGACAAGTTGCGTCACCACTTGGGTGATCACTTTGTCGGATACTAAACACACGTCTAACGTCAAGCTTTCAAACTTTACAAATGCCTATGATTATTTCATTTAGTGTATTACGTAAGTTCAACCGTCCGTGGTGCTCCACGGACTGTTTACAACTCCTACGAGTATCTATTTTCAGTACATAATGCTCTAGCTAGAATGATATTGAAAATTGTAGGAATCTGTGATTTGTTCACAATTATAGCTTAACGGCCTTTAGGGGGATCACGATCCTAAATTGGTGATCCCGACGAGAGCTTACAATATTATTAGATAATATTCTATTAATGTGCTTTGCTGTGCTTTTGGGTTCTCTTTTGTTTCCTATCTTAGTTGTGTGGGTGATATTATATTCAAACAATTAATTATTTTTTCTAAACATTTAGAATGTTATGATTACTTCAAGAGACTTCCGTACCCTTGCCGAGGTGTGGGAAATGTCCATGTAATTAAACACTGGAATGAAGAGAAAAAGTGTCACCAATTGGAATTCCGCGCGGCTCTGGCGGTGGGGGGGAGAGACGCTCAGCGGTGGGAGTTTCCACATATGGTACGTGCCTACTCCTGTGCCTAAACATGTGATTTCTTTTTAGAGTTAGAATTATTTGTTCTTTTTGTTGTAGTGATACATGTTTTCATTTGATGAATTAGTGGTATTGATTCCTCAGCTGCAAGTCACAATGTTCGTGATGTCCCCTCTTGCTGTCAGTTACACAATTAATGAGAATTGTTTATAACAGTTAGTAGTATTCGTTAGTAGTAGTTTATAAGGGCTTATTGAGTACATATAATGGCCAGTTGGCTCTTACGTCCATATGTCTATAAAATAAACAGTACGGGTACTTTTTGAGCTACTGCAGCCTCGGTGCCGTTTCACGTCAAAATCCCCTGGCCCATCTGATTCTAAACATATATGTATAACTATCCTTGAGGGTAGGCTAATCTTTTGGAATGTTGATCCAAAAGAAAAGAAAGACATGTGAAAACGGTGATGATAATAGCTTATGTTTTTGATGACGAAGGCGCTGATCGGTTACGGGGAGGATGTGGCGTCGGCGCAGTGGCTCTGCGGCGGCTCCGTCATCAGCGAGCGGTTCATCCTCACGGCCGCGCACTGCACCTACACACGAACGTTGCAAGTATATTCCGCTCACTGAATAAACCGCTCTCAATGTTAAGTGTGTCGTCCCTACTACGCATTGATACAATACTAAATGCTTATTTTTCAATGTTATAACGAGTATATTCAATTGCTGACGAGCTGATATAATACAGCGGTTCAATAAATTTCGCGGCGCTGGGGCTGCTAAAGCGCTCCGACCCTATGGACCAGTGGAAGATATACAACATAATGAGGATAGTGGCGCACCCGGAGTACAAGCCGCCCCTCAAGTACCATGACATCGCGCTTCTCGAGACAAGCACCGAGTAAGTGTACAGTACACACGTCTTTTGCTCATAATGTTTCATCTATTCATATCTTAATATATAGACGGTTTGTCAATTTACACATTTTTTTTTTGTATCTGCAATCAACTAAGTCATAATCAGATGTTTTGGCTTTTTCGTTGTTATTTAGAGGGTAATTCTGCCTTCGCATAATGATGTCTGGCTTCTAGCATCGTTGGTCCAACTCTAGTACTTGCCATCTTTTCAATCTTGTAGTGTCATTGTTGGTATGAATTAGATGGCTTCCTCTTCAAGAATTGGCTGTAGTCTTCGCAAATAAATCTTTTCGAATAACTTTGACAGCAGTGGTAACAAACTAACTGGCCTGAAAAAGCTTGGATCCACAGGTACTTTTCCACGTTTCAATAACATGCATATTTGACAGATAAGCCACAATCTAGGAAAATAATGTAATCTCATTATTATTTTTCTATTTTTTTTTTAAGACATCTGTCGCACTGTGCCGCGGGGGACTAAAAACCTACATGAAACGCACACAAAGAACACCCAGACTCAGAACAACAATTTGTGTATTACACCAAGTGTCGTCCCATGTGGGGTCGAACCCACAATACTCAGCGCAGTAGGAAGCGGTGTGGCGACTGCTTAAACCATTACGCCATCCGTGCAGTTGCATGCAGGCATAATGGCATTGAAAAGCATAGTCAGAAAGACAACAGGTTTCATCGAAAGATGATTTAGGACTTCGCCAGTGATCATATCAAAGCCTGGAGCTTTTTTGCTATAATTCCCTTGGTGTTACAAGTTTTATCAGTGGTGATAGCTGCTGTTCACTGCTAAAATAAGCATTTACCTCCTGTTCAAAATCTCTCATCGTAGAAGTATTTGATAAGAAGACTTGACTAAGGTTTTGTGCGAAGATATGTGCTTTCTCTTTAGGGCTTTTGGGTCACCTTCCTGACTGTACTCTCGGTGCTGGTACTGCTTGTTGAGGTCTCTTGAACTGTTTTGTGTTTCTAAAGGGAATAATAATCAAACTTTTTTGCAGATAGAGATGACAGTTTCTGTTGGAATGTGTAGTTCTCATTCTCTGCCATCACTTCCCTCAGTTTCTTTCTAAGGAGAGGCCTATGTCCATCAGTGGACTATTAAAGGCTGTTGATGTGTGATGATGTGACTTCCCTCAGTTCTCTAGCTACTTTCTCATACAGTTTTTTATCATCCGTGTGTCTGCTCAACTGCCAGACTCTCCTAAGTCTTTTTTTCATGGCAAGTTTTTCTCGTATTTGTAGAGGTATGTTCGTGGTTTTCTTTCTAGCTTTCAAATTTAGTTTACTACGCCAAGTAGCTTTCTGTATAAGATTGGTAATAAAGAATGTTGCATCATCACTTTCAGTTTAACCTGCAATTTTTTTATCATTTTTAGATATTCAGTAAGTAGTAGTAGTGCCCAGTCAGATTTATGATTATACAGAGTAGTTTGTGGTTCTTTGTGGATTATAGTTCTTGAAGGTTTTGTTTGTGCAATTATGGACGAAGTTATCATGACGAATAGCTATCGGAAATATATCCTGAAAGATGGTACGGTTGACATCTGTCGGGCATGCCACCGTCCTGGGGAATCAATCAGGCATTTTATTTCTGGTTGTTCTCGTCTCGCTAACGGTGAATATTTGCACATGCACAACCAAGTAACCAGGATCTTACACCATTGCCCTTAAATATCAACTTGTGAATCTAGAGGTGCCTTACTACAGGTATGTGCCCGACCCAGTTCTCGAGAATGGTCGGGCCACGTTGTATTGGGGTCGATCTATTATCACAAACTATTGTTGCCAATAAGCCTGATATTGTAATGATTGTTAATATCCTCGTTCTTCATAACGAGAATCTCGTAAAAGTTAAAAAAATAAAACAAATAAAATATTTGGATTTATCTCACGAGTCTCGATATGTGGAATGTCAATTCAGTGATCATTGTTCCGATAGTCGTATCTGCTCTCGGATTGTTAGCCAAGAGCCTCGACCAACACCTTAAGAGGCTCACGTTAGGCGGTTGGATTCAGGCTCTGATGCAGAAGGCAGTCCTCCTTGACACGGCCTGTATAGTGAGTAGGTAGTAGTATCTTTGGAGTCCTAATCACCGGTGTCTTGGTCCCTGCACCCGATATCGGTAGTCTACAATTTTTATATTTTTAAATAGGTTTTTTTAATGTGTGTTTAAAAATATAATTAATATGTATAAAAATAAATAAAAAGAACAATAATAATATAAGTAATAATCAAAATTTGATTAGCCTTAGGTCTTTCTCAATTGGAATTAAGCCATATGCATTCTGTGTTCCAGTGCGTATGGAAGTCATGTTATCTTACTGACGTGTGGTAACGAGGTTTACTAGTATACCCATTAGTTGCATCAGTAAATCTATTTTTAAAGCATGTTTATTAATTATTTCAAGTAAGAAGTTTTCATATTCATTAGGGGTTTGGTTACCAGTTTGATATGATTGGGTTATATGGCTATTTTGAAAATTTGTTGTGTTATAGTTGTTTGAACTTAGGTGTTTGTTATTATTCTTTAAAGCACTGTAGGAATATGTATGTTTATTAGTAATACTTGGCATTTATTGACCTAGGTCATGTATTAGGGGTACCCAGTTTTCTACATTACTAGGGTTTGTAACAGTATCTTAACTTCATTTCTATTTTTATTTGGAAATCTTTTGGCATAAATTTCACAGTACACTGAGCAACCTTTATAATTTGCAGGGTGACTACCTTCACACTATTTTTGTCTTTAGTACAACTTTTAGTTTTATCAGTTTCTCCACATTCTACACACCTGCAAGGCCTCATGCAGTAATTTTTTGTTGTGGCCGTACTGCTGGCCGCGTGTACACTGGGCAATAGTTTCATTTCTTCTCGGATCTTCTATTTGAACTAACACTCGTTACACTCGTAACACTCGCACAAAACAAACACAACGACTGTCAACTTCAATTTCAACGTTTTGCAGTATTTTCAAAACAAACCATTGACAACATTACGTTGGCTGTCAGTTGCTTTTTGTTAAACAATTTATAACAAATGAACGGCTAGACTGATGTTTTCACTGATCTGTTTTAATGATATTTTTTTCATTTATGAATCACATATAATATCTACTTATTATCATACTCCGGACAAAGACAAATCCAAAAACTCAAATATCATAAAAATAGGTCCAGCCGTTCTTGTGTTAATATAATAATGCAACAAAATCGCAGGATAGTCTTCGGCAAGGACTTACTGCCGGCATGTCTGGATGTCGGCGACGCCCCTCGACCTAACGCCGAGGCGTCTGGTTGGGGGCAGCTGGGCTATAAACAAGCTGTGGCAGACACCCTGCAAGTGGTTCGTATCTCGCTGTCTCTCGTTTGATACTTTGTTAGTTTAGGTTGTAAAGTAATACTTATAAAACAAAACATTTTATTTTTATACATAGTCATTTCACCGAATTGCTCTCTAACGAAATAACCCGGTAATAAAATGTTATGTCTTTTACCTGCTAGGTATTAGGTAAGGTGCAGGGGCCGGATAGACACAATAGTAAGGTCGGCCTCAAACTGATCGTTTGTAGCAACAGTGAACTGTTTACAACTCAATCACTACAATCTTGGGTCAAGTCTAATACAAACTTGGATAGCGCACGAAACTAAACTGAGTTGAATTGTCTCCGCACCGTCGAAGTTTTGTTTGGAGTCACAACTATTGAATTGTGAACGTGTTGCATTCAAAGAAGTTATTGGGAGTCTTTAAATCGTTGGTTTTAGGTGGACTTAAATGAGTTCAACGAGACGAAATGCGGCGAGTTGTACGGGCCTCACCGCCACATGCCGCGCGGGTTTGATCGCCAGACGCAGATGTGCTACGGGTCCTACACTGCCATTGTTGACACTTGTCAAGTAAGTTCACCAATTTTATTATTTATACCATTCGTATGTAAGTCAGCAGAGGACTGCACGTTGTGGGTCCGATCCCCAAATGGGACGACACTTTGTGTGTTCATCAAATTGTTGTTCTGAGTCTGGGTGTTTTTTGTGTCCGTTTCATGTATGTTTGTATAGTCCCCCGCGACACAGGATATTCCTAATGCGGGAGTTGTCTTTTATAAAAAATAAATAAATAAGAGGACATCAAATTTCTGTTCAAATTAAAGTCACCAGCCTAAACTACCCATGCTACACAAAAAATATGAATTGTATGTTAATTATTTTTGTGTGTGTGTTTATTTTAGCGAAAAAATAAACAAATTGAAAACAAATGAAATACGAATTAAACCGAAAATTAAATGTTCATCACTTTCAATAAAAAAGAAAAAAAAACATATTTTTGTCATTAGATTCTTATATAAAGTTTGTTACTAAAGCTAACATAAAACTAGTAAAGGACTATTCTAAAACGTTCAAGAGTAAATAGAAAAAAGGTTAAATCAAAATATTACAAATTCTTTTACAAACGGCCTCAGCCAGCATATTGTGAGACAGCATATTAACGTTGAACCAGTTCACGACCTTGGAGAGAGCAGAGAACTTGTCCTCAAAATAGAACAGAATTTTCTAACTTGGTTGATAAATGACAAAGTACTAAGGTATCAAACATAAAAAGAATACAACGGATTCGAAAACTTCCTACTTTTTTTGAAGTCGTTTAAAAATGTAAAGATCCACTGATAACTAGTGGGAATCAGTGTATGTAGTGGAGTGAGGCTAACTGCACGTGTGTGTGTCGAGGGTGACAGCGGCGGCCCCCTGCAGAGCAACAGCCACAAGTGCCTGTACACGGTGGTGGGTGTGACGTCATTCGGCAAAGACTGCGGCGTGCTCGGCGCAGCGGGCGTGTACACGCGGGTGTCGCACTACCTGCCCTGGATCGAGAGCCTCGTGTGGCCGCAAGCCGGCGACGATTAGCGTTTTCACTAACTAAATATTGTATAGTAGGTATATGTAACATACTTAGATGCCAAGGAACGGTAGCCTAGGATTGAGCGAGGTCTCGATTCACTTTAAAGACAACCACTACCCTCTTAATGATACTATAGTAGTGCATACAAAAGTCCGGACTCCCGGAATTCTTATCCATCATTTAACAAAATGATAACAACCAAAATATAAAACTTTCATAAACTTTATCACGTGATCTTGTTAAGTATGTATTTAAGAAGGGTTCCAAGAAGGAAAAATGGTATACCTAGGTCAATTATTTAAATTTTATGTCGACTTTTGTAAGAACAGAGATTGGATAAAAATTAGTTAATTTAACAATCGTATAAATTTTTGAAAAATCGACATAACTTTTTTCCAACTTGATTTTATTCTTTCAAGTGTTCCGATGACACCATTTTTGTTTAAATTTTTGAGTTAATATTTAATACTATAAAACATGTTTTGTTGATATACCGACTCTCTCAAGCAGCGTTGCATCATGCCGTAAAGGCCGCGCGGAGATCTATTTTCGCTATGGAATAAAAAATTTAAATAATGTAGACAGGATGCCAGGAGTCCGGACTTTCATGAAAACATTGCTTTTCTTTAAAGATCTTTTTTAAAAATTCTTAAATATTAATAGTTTTTGAGTTATTAACGAAAAACTGAATATCTTTTTTTACATCTCATCATTTCGTTAATAACGATTACACTTACAATAACAATTACAAAATTGCTCGACATATCTTTTCTACGTCATTACGAGTCGCACATATTTTTAGGACCAGAAAAATTAAGCAGTTTTTTAACTTGTTGACTAGACTTAATTTATTAAAATTACAAAGCAACATAATAGAAACTCTAACTTTCAGATCTATTCGGTGCGACTGCAGATCAGGCCATGTAATCCAGTTCACTACAACTTGCACACAGTACCTCTATTAACCAACACTAAAATAACACTAGAATGAACGGAAAACTAATAAAAAGTGTGGTTAAAAACAGAAAAGACGGAAAGACGGTTCCTAACCAACTCCTTTTTATTAAAACTACTAACTAACAGACATTTAACTGAGATCAAAGTAGTGATAAAGGAAATAATTATGAGAAAGGTCTAACTTTGTTGTTGATGCGGAATCAATCAAATTTCAATAACAGAATGCAGTTACTAAGCCTTTTCCTGCGGTTGAGCTTATTCAGCTCAACCGCAGGAAAAGGCTTAAATAGATTGCAAAATCTTCTGGTTTCACTTTAACTTTATTAAAAAGAGATAGTAATTTTTAAGAAGTTTTTATTCATTTTTTGGTTGTCAATTGTCTATGTAGCAGTATTTTATTAGCTAGGTCACAAAGGCTTTCAGACAATGTCAAAAAAAAAACATAGCGTGAGTCATCAGAACTGAACTGAAGTAAGGGCTTATAAGTAAATTTTGATTTAAGTATTTCGTGAGATGACCTTCAAAGTTTTCAAAGTGTATCCTATAACCTTCTGCTTTCGTAATAAATTTATAAGAAATAAATGTCTCAAAAAACAACTGTGTCCATTGATAAATTACCAACGTAATTGATTTTAATTTTGGAGCCCGTAAATAGAGTAATTTGTACTTAATTTACATCATTCCTTTTTGTTATCTCGGCGCTATTAGACCGGGGTCATTATTTAGGGTATTACAAATCATACGCGAAAAAAAGAATAACAACAAACATAAGAAGTAACATTGAGTTTGTAGAAAAGGATCTCCAAAAAAGACTTCACAAAAGGCGTACTTAATTATAAATACCGCCAGAGACAGGTTATTATTAGTGGACACGTATGAAAATAATTACAGAATAACGGAGCATATCTACGCCTTGGCGTCCAGACCAGACACATTTCTTCATGCAATGTCAATTAAGCGTGTAGTACTAGCGTGTAGTATAACTCACGGTGCCGTTTGAAACGAAAATCTCTAAAGAACTGTCGTTTAAGTGTAAGTATGAACTGCTGAAAGACCTTGGATTGCCATAGGTAGAGGGAGCAATACAGCAGACCATGGAGGTGAGCGCTGACGCGTCGCAAGGAGTACTCCCTAAACCTGCTCCAGAAGCAGCATCACAAACTTTATCTTCATTCATGCGTCCAAAACTAAAAAGTTTGCATACTACAACATTTTTCAATAGCTGTATGGCACCGTTTTTTAAATGCAAGAAAAAACGTGTAAAGTCCTTTTAGCCTTCTACAATAGAATATCCTCGTTACACTCAACTCCTTTCAGCGCTAGTCTACCGCAGTATATATACTTCAATAGATGCGTACTACAATAGTTCTTTCATTGCGCAACGCAGAATCTTCAGGTAGCTACTTACTCGTCACACGTAGATGATGTTGAAGTATGTTTGTAACTACAGTCAGTCTCAACGAAGGCGTGTCGTGAGCGATGTTGTTACTGAAGCTGTTCATACTAATTATAAATGTGCATGAACTGCAGCATGGCGAGGACGTAAGTGGTGGCGACACTGGCTGTTGACAGCACCAGCGACGAGTCGATGGAGACGACGCGCCAAACCGTGTACCTGAAGCGGCGCACGCCCAAGTACTGCACCGCGTCCTTGAGCGCGTTGCACCAGTGCGTACCTGCTGCCAGTCAACTTATTAAGGGGCGGCAAGTGAGGGGCGTATAATATATAATCGAGGGCACCAGGTGGTTGCACCAAGTCCCCAATTTTGCATAAAAGCTGTAGTGATTGAGAACCCGAAACAAAAGTATTAAAGGTTTGTTTCCTACTACTCTAGCGGTTGTAAACTCTTATACAGCAGTTTGAAATTTTTAATGCTGTCTGGTAAGAAAATCATAAGCCAATATCTAAGCAAGTCCAGCCGAGGGATAAACGAAGAAAGAACAGAAAATTAGTAATCAACTTTTTCGAAATTAAACAAAATAAACTTGACAAACGAATCCCAAACCTAACGTGCCTACATATTTGGCCACGTTCATACTCGTGTTTTGTTTTCGAGGTAAAATTTGTCCTTTTTAAAATTTGTGTTTTTATTTATTTTATCTCTCTAAAAATTCTTGGTTTCTTACACAAACTGTAACTCTTTATGTTTTTTTAATCTATATCTATGCTTTATATCATAATTTAAGACGAAAAGGGGTTCATGGCATTTTCGAAAGTTCAGCCGTTTACGTGTAAGTAGTAATAGACAGACTGTTAAAGATGATATAGGGTCACCATATTTTAACTACAATGTTCGGCAGTTAAAAGAGTATCACCTATGAGATATGTTGTCTTACTTAGAAGCAATCTTGAAAACACCCTCGCTATGTCGAGGAAAATAATTTTTAAACAAATGCACCTTCCAGAACATTTCCTTTTTAACTTCGTCGCAGATAAATCTAGAAGCCTGAATGTTAGTGACTAAGTGAGGAGTAAGAGCCTTAATGTTACAAATTATATTCTTAAGTAACATAGGATATAACTACATCGAGAGAAAACTGTCATTCGAAACCAGTTACGTAATTCTGATCCATTGATGAACACCTATTGAAACTCAAACTCAAATATCTTTATTTCATAAAAAAAATTGTAATCGTTTCTTCTGTAGACTATAAGTCTTAGATAAACACACATAATAGCAACAATCTCAATTTTGTCAAATATTTAGCAAACTAAATATACTCGTATATACGCAACGAAAATCTCTTATATGCCTCTACCGATCTACAACCGCCCATTTCCAAGGGGTTGAGCCTCACGAGGAGAAAGGGCAAATAAACTCAGGCTACTCTTGTTAATCAACAGATAACAATGGCATCATTAAATATACACAACATTGTTTTGATGTGTGCCAGTATGTAAGTTTTAAGGTCTAAAAAGTAAAAAGGCAATGAAGAGAAAACAAGATATAGAAAAAAGATGGAACAAAAAAGAAAGCGCAGAAAACATAAAAAAAATGGAAAATTAAATAAAAGACACACTAGCCCACGTCACATTTCCACTACGAAATAGCCTGTGCTAAATTAATCCAAAGCATTCTTGTCTTCTATGTAATCCACAATTGATTAATAGGCCTTCTGACATATTTACGTTTTATTGTGTCTTTAAATTTGTTTATACTAAAATCTTGTATACTATTTGGGATTTTATTATAGAATCGGACACATTGACCTTGAAATTACTTGTTTATCTTTTGGAGTCTTTTTTTTTTTTTTTTTCCGTGCGGAAATCCCCTCGGACACCACCTGTCGGTGGCAAGTCGGACTCGAACCGACTAAAACCGCACGCCGTCTCGGGTACTAATAGCCGGGGAACCAGGTATACCCTAGAAAGGAAGTCCCTGGTGCCCCGACATACCTCGGGTCATCTACAGACGAGTAGACTACCCTCCCCCCGTGTGGGAACCCCATGTTCCCTGTGCTCCCTGCAAGCGAGCGCGCTTCGCAACGCGCTCGCCGCCACCCCGGCCTGCTTCTGCTAGGGTGACAGATGGCCTCACCTGTCACCCCCAGGCCTGCGCTTATGGAGGACGGAGGTCGTTCTGCGACCTCCGGCGCCTGAGTCGCCTGCGGTACCTGGCCCGTTCCCGCTCCGCCGTCTCCTTCGCGAGCATAACTTGCTCGCAGAAGGAGCCGGCAGAGTTCCACGCACTCTCGCTCGGCACGATAGCCGCAATCAGGCTATCGAGCGAGAGAACTCCCACTCCGATGGCCGCCACGAGGTCTCGCCTCTGCTCAACCCACGCCGGGCACTCTGCCAGCGTGTGGAGAGTCGTGCCCACGGTCTGGCCATCGCAGTGGTGGCACTCAGGCGTTGGCTCCTTGCGGATCAGACACAGGTGATCCCCGAAACATCCTTTCCCAGTGATCACCTGCGTCAGTCGGTTTGAGAGGGTCCCGTGACGCCTCTCGAGCCAATCCTCCATAACGGGTCTTACCGCCGCGATGACGGCGTGCCCGGCGCTCGGTTGCCCGAGTCGTTCCCTCCACTCCCCTATGATGACCTGGCGGAGCTGGGCTTTCCGGTCATTGATTTCTCGAATTTCGGGACAATGACCCAACTCCCGCGCCTCCTTGCGCCACTGAAACAGAGCCGCAAGGGCTCTCGCCTCCAGGTCCCACGGTGGAGTTCCGGCCAGGAGACTCGCCGCCTCAATATCTTTTGGAGCCTAGAGGCAGGCACAACAAGTTTGTTGCTATTTCTCGATATTTAAAACATGAACATCACTTCTTTTCAAGTAGCTATCTTTGTTTTTATGAACATATATTACATTTTCACTTATATATTGCCACTGTCATTATGTTTAGTTCTTTAAACTTTTGCCTAAATTACAAATTACTCGAATCACTATTATGAAGCTCGAAAATAGTTTGAATGTCGGCAGCATTCCCCTACAGTAGAATACCGTACGACATTATACTATGAAAACAACTGAAGTAAACAAGACGTGCTGTATCAATATCAGTCAATTCTCGAATTCTTCTAACTGCGTACGCTGCTGAGCTGAGTGTACTCGATAATTCATCTATATGTGGCCCCCACTGTAGCTTAGAATCGAATGTAATTCCTAAAAATTGCGTTGTATCCACAAGGTTTAGCTCGACATCCTTAATCATCACGGTGGTTTTCACTGGCTTGACGTATGCCGTTATGAACCATATACACTTAGTTTTTTTTTCATTCAAAAGCAAATTGTTAACGTCGAACCAATGAACCACTTTCGACATGGCGCTGTTTACATCCGTGAAATTAGTAAGTTTACGTTTGAGTCTAAATAATAGTGATAAATATCATCTGCCAACAACACAATCTCGTGATTATCCTTGGCAAGGTGAGGTAAGTCGTTAATATATACTAAAAACAAAATTGGCCGAAAATAGAACCATGTGAAACGCTCATTTCTACATCAGCATTGGCAAGTTCCAATTGGTACCACATTGAGTAACTTATTGTAACTTTAGTTTCATTTCTTTTATAAAGTCGTATGAAAGCCGCTTAATTCTTAGGCAATACATACTCGTACAAAGGTACGAGTATGTATGGATAAGTGTAATAATAGGTACAAGATGTAGCCTTTACAGGGACAGCTTGACTAGAACTGACTCTATAGACTGTAATGCTCTAAAAATTAGGAATGGAATTTTAACTTTTTTTATAAATAAGTGGTATACGTAAAAGCAGCCAGCGGGGCGCACTCACACGGTGTGGAGTGACTTGAGTCACTCTGCAACTAAATCGTTTCAAAATAAAGTAAGGTTCACACAGACTCACCTCTACAAACGAGCAGCTGCTTCGCCACAGCCAAGACCATCCTGTCCACTTCTTTATTCACCATGTCTACAAATATACCAGGCAGAAACGGATACGTCGTGTCTAAACATGTATTAAATATTGCAGGCAGAGCATAGACCTGTAACAGTCAGTAGTTTAAATAAAGACACTTTTGGAAGTCAGTGGTACTGCTCAGTGCATTGAGCGCCGCAGTTCTGTAACTTTGAGAAACCAGTATACCTTACGTAACCTTTGTATAGATGTCATTAGTGATTGTTTGTGTTATGATTAAAAATAATTGTTAAAACCTATTTAAGGGGCATCTTGTTGAGTTATTGCCCCGAAGATTATGTATCTAATACTTTCCCTAATAACTATGCCAGCTGGCTGATACAAGTACAGGGGATAGGTAAGCCGGTCCGCCCAGCTGAGCAGCTGTTGATCCGTAGCAAAACCAATGGCAGACTATCTCGGCCGGCTCAGCTGATCAGCTTTTGTACCGGAATACCAAGGGAAGAGTAATGAAACACCTGGGTTGCTTCCATGTGGAAGAAGCTGTTTATTAAACATTTCATCTTCTATTTTTACTAAATAAGTAAAACGGTGACATCCCACCAGTAGCTCCGTTAAAGACGACAAAATGTTTCGACCAGTAGTAGTTACTTTCGGGTCAAGGTGTCGGGCTCCGACCAATCACGTAGCTCGACCACGTGTGACAACGAACACGTGTGACAGCGTTGGTGGATAGAAGAATCTTGATCAACGTCATGTATTGTTTCTTAACAGAAAGTCTAATTCACTGTTGAATTAGACTTTCGGTTAAGAAACAAGGACTGTTCCTTGTCAAGGCTTTACTGTTTCTTTTCAAAAAATAAGTCTTGCGGTATACGCACCTTAGTACAGTAGTTATAGTAAATTGTTCGCGTGTTTACGTTTCCTAGTCGCGGACGCCACAGTATGAATTTCTACCAAATCAAATCCCACTATTATCAAGCGTTATCAAAAGGCAGATTATCGTGAAAGCCTGAAGTATCGACAGGCAACGGTGAACTGACGTACATACATCTAACACGTCTTATGAAACGTTGCGTTGGTGCTGGGTGCGTTTCTTAATCAAAAGTCATCTGGTCTTTATTTATTTTTTACACTAAGTTAAGGGGTTTTACTCAAACAAATTTTTATATTGCTTAAGTATAACCCCTAATTAACCACGAACTGGGAACTAATGAGTTCGTATTCAATAGAAGGGCAAATCAAGGCTTGTCACTTGTCACACGACGATCGATAGTTCGACCGTTATGTGGCCAGCGAACTGACAACGAAAGTGAAATAAAATAATTGCGTTTTTGACAACAGTTAAATTGTTAAAATAACAGTTAACAGTTTAATTGTTTAAATTGTTCTATATTAGACACTTTTATTAATGTGATTCACCTGACGATACTGAAAGGACAGGAAGATCTCATTCCAAGGATTCCAATAATCCCAAGCGATACACCCTTTGATTTTAAACGAATTCAATTTCTGATTTATCTTAAAATCACCATGACGATAAACAAGTCGCAAAGCCAATACTTGAGTGTGTTTGTCTTTCATGAATGTTAGTGATCTGAATCTAGAAAATGCATATTTTTCTCAAGATCAATTACGTGGTATGTTCATGTATCGGCCAACCATCTAATGTGTTCTTACGTCCGAAACACCAGAAAGCCAGGCGTCAGGTCCCATAAGGGGTCGAAGTGGTCGCCATGGCCGAAATCGGTCGGATTACATCATCATCATCACGTCCGAAAAAATATTGTAAACAACAAGGTGCATCACTGAAGAGTTAGATATAATGTGCAACAGTGCAACTACTGAAAAGCTATCTAAATATATAAAAGTTAAGTTGGTTTGTGTGCGCTACAAAAACTCAAACATTTTTCAACCGATTGAGCTCAAAATTTGACATGACATACAACACGCTTCAAAGACGATTATTATTTATTTTTGGCGTCACTTTTGTTTCTCATTTCTCATGAACGCAACCACAATACGCCACAGCGAAGCGAAGGTGGCTAGTTAATAATAACAATAGTAACAATTTTTTGCATCGACACTAATAAAAAATATTGTTAACTATTGTTGGTTTTGTTTTTCATAAACAAGCGGTGTTTATCTATTAGAGTCGTCACATTGATCTGTACTCGACTTAGATGTTCCTATCGATTTAATTGTATTTTATAGATGTTATTGTTTGTTGGTAAACCTTAATAAAAAGAAAAATAAAAAATAATGAACCCGAGTGCAACCAATATAACAAAACACATAGTTTCGATAAAACAAGTGTCTAGTTGACTCTAGCGCACTCCCTATCGCCAGTCAATGAATGTAGTGTATCTTTTATATAAACTTAACTATTCGACTTATCGGAAGGTTATCGATAACAATTATTTTTATATTAGTTTATCGATTAACCAAGTGACTAGTCAAGTCATTATTAACGGTTTGACAAATGAACTCCAACTTCAGGGTGACCTTTAAGCTTAAAAATTAAAGTACCTAAATGTACTAAATATAATCCCCAAACAGCACTACGAATATCATACTCACATCAAAGTCATATGTTATTCGATGAGCGATTACTAATAATCTAGGTACAGAAACTGCCACATTCAGAAGCATCTGAAATTAGTTCATGATTTAAATTTTTGCCATCATCACATCACATCGTAATAAAAATATTCAGAGTGGTGCAATGTCTCCAGTGTGAGTCGCACTCGCAGCCATGAATGTTAATTGGTAACCCAGACTTCTGAGACTTTGAAAGGCTCTAACAATAACATAATATTTAGTGGCATATGTTGCACCAAACTACTCTGCGCAGGTTAAAAAGATGTATTTTTATTTACCAAGATCTTCATTGGCATCTCAGTCTCGTGAACTGTGTTTAATATATTCTTGTAAATTATCATGCAATTCCTTAAGTTGTGTACCATGGCATCGTCCCCTTCCTCGACTCTGTGAGCAACTGACAACTCTCGTTCCAGACGTTTGCGGACCGCCTTCATCCGGTGGCACAATGATTCGAACATCATAATTCTCGTGACATTGGTGAAGGCGACACTCGTAGTCGGTACGTAGTACGTGATAAAGAATCTCCAACTTCTGTATAATTTGTGTATAAAGCAGCCCGTTATGGCCACACAGATCTTTACTAATATTACAAAAATTAATATAACTCGGAACATTGGTATTTCGTCATTTACTACATTGTTCATTGAATAGTCAATTTTCCTGATTTCTCTCAAGAAGTTAAAGATATATTCCCCGTCTAAAAGAAAATTTACAAGGGCAGTTACGATGAATTGAAACAGCATAAAACCATAGTCTATTATTGTACGAAAGTCTGCATCGAACACAACATTACTGTAGTATTGAAGTTGCACGGTGACATAAAATACGACATAGAGTCTCGCCACCAGCGTGACGAATCTCACCGAGCTCACGCAGAAATACAAGCCAGTCATCAGGCGTACAAACATCAGGGCTCGTATGGACAAAGCTGACCTGACACACGACGTTATACTCGCCACCATGTTGAAGGAGTGGCTGAGGCGCAATCAGACGAAGGAGCGATGGAACTACACTAAAACTTCACGCGTTCAAATGTCACCGCGCAACTAGATAACATTTTGATGGGGTTCCAACACGCGTCGTCGTCAATAAGTTAGTGAGTGGTCAGGGAAGAATCAATACTGTAATTGGTCAACACCATTACAGCGGTTTTCTATTAATGGCTAGGGAGGAGACGTATCGCATTTCGATTTTCGATAAATTTTATTCAGATATCGAGAGAGAGAGTTGTGACATAATCACTTTTGAAAAAGTTGAATATAACACTCAAAAAGTATAACTACTAACTTCTTTTCGTGAACAGCGTTTTTACATGGTACATGGTTTGCAAATTAGAGTTTAAGTATAACTGAAACACTTAAATTGAGGCATTCGTGCCTGGACTGTATAAAACAATCAGCGCTCTTCCCTATTTTTATTACAAATAGTTCAAATTTAAATTTCAAAAATATAACATTTTAAATCGAAGCTGAAAAATGTATCGAGTGTATCTAGTACGAAGATCGATCAAACCGAGTTAGTTGCCCTCTTCACGACAAGACAAAGATCTTGAAAGAAAATGGAGCCTTGGAAGATAACCTTTCCACCATGATATTTTTCATTTCACGTTAATATACGTTATGGTAAGCATCAGTAGTGCTTGCCATTTACATTTGGAGCCGGCACCAGCGCCTGGCGGCGTGGGCGGCCCCTTCGCTGCACAAGGTATCCCCGGCAGTGACAGCGTAGTGCAATGTAAGTGAGGGGTCAAGGCGGCCAGTGTACGACTCTCGGATAAAGCCACTTTCCCTATTTTAAGTTCAGTTACTAGCATTTCTAATTGGGTCATACTCAGAAAAAATGTACATTTGGCACTTTTTTTTGTCCCACTACTTTAATAGCAGATTTAAAATTTGAATATTATGGCACATATTTTTAATCATATTTACATCTATGTTTAGTCTTTAATAGGATCTTTTTTTTATAAATAATATAATATTTTTGTCAAATCGTAGTATAAATAGCATTGGTTTTTTTTTTATAAAATATCTTCCATACAATTTTTTAATGTCCCAATAACGATTTTTCTTAATAAAAGAGTAATTGTTACGACTATTAGTCGACTTACATAATATATGATTGACTGTAGTCATTTAGGTCTCTTTTAGTCCATCATTTAAATAGTAATACGATTTATTCTTTAGAACGTTTAATAAAATTATTAAAATTCATATTAATGTTGTTCCAAAATTATTACATTTCGTTACTCAGTGTTAGGTTAGGCTTTTTTTTTTTGTTACGTGGTGGAATGGGTCCAGAAGGCGATAACTACCTGGACCCCTTCTAAAGTGGAAGCGCAAAGAGGGCACACCGTGTGGTTTTAGTCGGTTCGAGTCCGACACACCGCCCCGCCAAACGAGAGCCCCGGCGGGGTGACGGTCCGAGGGGATTTCCACACGTTAAAAACAAAAAAAAAAAAAAAGGTTAGGTTGGAGTGACTAGACTAGACTAGACTAGAAAACCTCCCCGTGGTGCACCCTGGAAACGCTGGCGATGGCACTGTTTCCTCCTTGTTCTCTAATGGAGACGGAAATCGAGACGGAGACCGCAAGGTCTTGTGTCTCTCTCACAGAGGTTGTGCTGGAGCGGTTGGACGCTGCCAGCACACCAGGAGTTTCGCGCCCGTCTTCCCCAGCAAGGGGAAGATTCTGGCGCAAGCGAACCAACTCCAATACCGAGTTGGATTCGCCAAGCGAGGGCGATTCGCGCAGCAAAAGCCCTAAGAGGAGTCGCGGCCGTCCCCCGACAACGGGGGAATATGTCAACCTGGCTAGGGCCAAGGCCGAGCTCAACGCGGCCAAGGAGCGGGGGCTCGAGCTCTATCGGCGCCAGCCACCTCTAGGATCCGACCTTCGGTTACGGCGGTGCGGAGCCGGAGGCCGTCGATCCCCAGGGCCTTGAGGTCTATTGAACTGTCGGCTTTGGACATGACCTGCCCGTAGTTCACGCCCTGCTCCGCGGCAGGTGCGCAGTTTGCGGGACCCCCGGGCGCCACGTTTCCTACTCTTGGTGGCTGGCGCCGCAGGAGTGGCAGCGGTCGGGGCAGCCGACCGGACTGGGGCCGGTTTAGGCGCCTTCGGCTTAGCCGCCTTCGGCCTAGCCGCCACTTCGCTCCACGTCCCCCTTTGCGGGAGCGGGGCGGGGGACGACGAGGAAGCAGACGGGGGCGACTGCCGCGACTGTCGGGCAGCCTCCGCCTCCTTTGCCGCAGCAGTCTTCTTCCCCGTCTTCTTCCTCTTCTTTTTGTTCTCCCCCGATGGCCCGGGTGGGCACGCCCCTGTCTCCTCCTGCCCGTCTGGCATTGGAGGAGAGAGGGGGAAAGGCCGTGAGGGAGACACCTCAGGCTCGGGCTCAGGTCCAATGGCAGACCGGGCCGCATTTCTCTTGTCCGCCTGCAGAGGCGGACGGATGCGGGTCTCCGGCAGCATGCGGTCAGCGATCAGTCAAAAGTATTTATTTTAATAATTGAAACATCCATAAATAGTCCCACGAGAATGAGACGAAAATAATACACTTCCCGGGTGACGCTCATTCCGGGAAGCGGGGTAAATACTATGGAGGTCCCCCGGTATCCATAGGTTTTAAGCGACTTAGCTGTCGGGTTTTATAGTCTTTTCCATGACACAGGCCGGCCAATGAAGGCAAGCCCCACGTCCTCCGAGGTCACGGCGTTCCTGAGTGTGGCTAGCACTCAGGTTAGTATGTCGATCACCCGGAGATTACGCGACGCAGGAGGGAAGCCAACTCTCCCAACTCCGACGGTGGCACGAGTGCCTGTCTGCCCCTGCGCGAGCAGTGGGTCGACCCGTCCCTAAATCCCTAAGGGATTACAACGTTCCTCCCAGTATCCCCCCGAAAAGCAGAGGGATACTGGGAGGAACGGGGAGCCATGAAAAGGGCTGTTGTATCCCTACGGATACCCCCCCCCCCGCGGGCCTTGCAGGCCCGCCATCCCACGACCCCCTCGTGCAATGGGGTCAGCTTAGCCCCTGAAAAGGGCTGTCGGGTTATCGGTCAATCGGCTAACATACAGAGCTCTGTGACAGAGACAGTGTCTATTAACCGTTGTCCAGGGTGCACCAGTCCCCTCGCTTCCGCTCCCGAGGACCGCAGTCCAACGGGGGAAGAAACGAAGAAGCCAACGTGGAGGTTACCCGACCCGCACCCCACCCCAGGTTTTTTTTTTTTTTTTTTTTTTGTTTTTTACGTGGTGGAATGCATTTACGCACTTAGCTCCCCCCCCGCGGGGGCAGGGGGTTCGCTGTTCACACCACGGTGTTCCTCCTTCGCCTAATCCGATATCCGATAATCGCCACGGGATAGTTTGCTCACCGCGACTCGGCTAGGGACGCCCTGTTGATCGGGCTCGCGTCGTGCCCAGATGGTAGGGCCTCCTAAAGAATGCACCCCATGAACACAGAGGGGCGCATTCCGCCACATTAGCATGGGGCGGCAGGTCCCCCGACCCACCGCCCGTGGCGACTCTCGTGGCCTGCGGGGCGGGAGAGCCAGTCCGTCTCGATCCCGCCAGGAGAGCCAGTCCAGCTCGATCCCGCCCCTGCAAAGCCCCTCCTCTTGCGCGCCATCACCTCGCCAGTAACGAGGCGACGGCAGCGTCAGGTTTTTAACGACTTAACTGTCGGGTTTTAAAGTCTTTTCCTTGACGCGGGCCGGCCAATTAAGGCAACCCCCCCCTCCCCGCAGGCCTTGCAGGCCCGCCATCCCACGACCCCCTCGTGCAATGGGGTCAGCTAGCCCTCAAAAGGGCTGTCGGGTTATCGGTCAATCGGCTGACATACAGAGCTCCGTGACAGAGACACAGAGACAGGGTCTATTAACCGTTGTCCAGGGTGCACCAGCCCCCTCGCTTCCGCTCCCGAGGACCGCAGTCCAACGGGGGAAGAAACGAAGAAGCCAACGTGGAGGTTACCCGACCCGCACCCCCCGACCCGCACCCCAGGTTAGGTTAGGTTAGGTTAGGTTGGGGTTAACTACCTGGACCCCTCCTACACTGGAAGCGCAAAGAGGGCACACCGTGTGGTTTTAGTCGGTTCGAGTCCGACACACCGCCCCGCCGAACGAGAGCCCCGGCGGGGTGACGGTCCGAGGGGATTTCCACACGTAAAAAAAAAAAAAAAAAAAAAAAAAAAAAAGGTTAGGTTGGGGTTCCGCCCGCCGGCGCCTCAATCGAGGTCGGCTCGGTCCTCGTACCGGTCCGGGCCCAGATGAGGTATCTGGGTATATATGGGTATCCCTAGGGCGACTTTTGCCCAATTTGGGCGGGGCCAGTGTTCCCACGAGGCGGCTGTACGCGGGGGTTGTCCGGTCCATGGCGCTGTATGGTGCACCGGTGTGGGTGGCGGCTCTGACTGCCCCGAATAGGGCGCGCCTCTGGCGCCCCCAGAGGATATTGGCGGTCAGAGCCATACGCGGATACCGCACGGTGTCCACCGAGGCGGCCTGTGCCTTGGCCGGAACACCCCCGTGGGATTTGGAGGCGGAAGTGCTCGCCGAAGTTTATCGGCGAGTGGCTGACTTCCGGGCGGAGAGCGGGTTTCGCCCTCCGCCCGAAGACGTGCGCGAGTGGCGCGAAGCCGCTCGCCGAGCCACTATGGTGAGATGGTCGTTCCGGCTGGAGACTCCACGCGCTGGCTTCGCCGCCGTGGAGGCTCTCCAGCCGGTCATCGCCGAGTGGGCAGGGCGGCAGCACGGGACCCTTTCCTTCCGGCTGACGCAGGTGCTTTCCGGGCACGGTTGCTTCGGAAAGTACCTGTACTCGGTCGCTAGGAGGGAATCGAGTCCCGCCTGCCACCACTGCGACTGCGGTGAGGATTCGGCCCAGCACACGCTGGCGGTTTGCCCCGCATGGGTGACGCAGCGCCGGGCCCTCACTGCAGTCATCGGAGCAGATCTCTCGCTACCG